TATTCCTGAAGGTCAGGAATAAATGGCACTATTAGCATTTCAAGCCGGTAAAAGGAAAAGTAATTTGTTGTTCGTTTAACATAGCGTTTTATGGAATGGCTTTGTAAAATGTTCATTATTTGTTCCAGCTTCATGGGAGCTGCAGGAGGCAAGATAGAGGCGTCTGGTTTTCAACCCAGGGCCTTGGGTCACGCCTGTGTCGCCGCTAATGTCCTGACTTGGCGAGATACTGTGGAATTACGTGGTTTGCACGTGGGCAGGGAAATGCCAAGGCGTGAGGCTGTCCACACAAATGTGGAGTCCCAGCAGACTCCAGCGGGGCGCTGCCTGGGTCCTGGGTGATGCCACTGGGTACAGAAAAGACAGCATGACAAGGGTCAAGGGTGGCAGAGACGGAAGATGAAGGTCTGTGGTGAAGGGTCAGACACAGGGTCCCAAGAGAAAGAGGGAGGCTCTTGCCGTGTGTCTGGGAACACTGGCAGATAAATCAGGTTTGAATCCAAATGCAGACGTGAGAGCATCTTGGGGTCAGAGGTACTCATTCAGTCACCTTCCTCCAGCAATACTTCTCACCAGCCACAGGTCCTGAATCCAGGGCAGGGTGAACCTCTAGCTCTCGCCTTTTCCTCTTAAATTTGTGCAAACAACTGATACAACATAAAAATAACATTGACAAACGCCACTCTATCCCACAGATACATTTCATTTTTGTAATAAAAAATATAAAGCGCACTGATAAAGGATTCTACATGTCTGTGTCCCGATGTTTTATACCACATATGCAGTGAGTTGGAGTATTTCACGAATAAAAATGAATGCAAATGGTATTTTCCATATCTAACTGGTATCTTCTGACTCTTGCTTTTCTCCTGAACAGGGCATTTGGGGGATCTGCTCACGCTGCTACCTAGGAACCTTTGGTCTTTTTTTCTCATCGCTGAAGTTACATTTTTGACAATCCGAAGGGTGTGAATGTCATGTTGCTGTTTTTGTATATATTCCCCCGATTACTAGTGAAGGTGAATCTCGAACATTTATTATTCACTTTTCTCTTTGTGCCTTGCCTGCCCACATCCCGTTGCTCATTTTTCTATCAGGCTGTTCTTCCTTTTACATGCTTTGAACACTAATCCTTTGTCAAGTGGACTTCAAATATCTTCTCTGAGACTGCACTTGTCTTTAATCATGGTCGTCAGTGACTCTGTTACTTTGGCCTGTGTGTTGTGCCTGCTTCACTTCTGGGCTGTGTGACCTTCCCCAGACACTGCACTAAGTGCTTTGCGAGTTTTATCTTATTTAATCAGCACAGCCTCCCTTATTCTGGGGTAGGTGAGGTTGGAGAAGTGAAGTGGCCATCCCGGGGGGTTCCAGTAGAAAGAGAAGAAGCTGGGATTCAAGGTCGGCCTCGCCCCCCATGGAGCCCTTCAGCACATGATGGAAATTAGTAAGAGTTAAGATTAGAAAGTGTCATTTAGTGGCCAACATGGACGTGTAGGTGGAAACACTGTGCTTCCTTGCACAACCAAGCTTAAAGACAGCAAAGTTTTAGTAATAAAAGCACAACCCCAAAACAGAAAATTGAACTGTACAGAAGTCCAACAACAACAAACCATTCAGCCAGACTGGTAAGAGGGGCGGAGTCAGCGGCTTGCAGAGCGAGTTGGGCAGGAAAGATGGGCTGGACTAACTCACGTGCACAGGTGGTGGTTGGCGGATCCCAGGTGTGGGGTGGCAACAGGCGGACCCAGTGAGGGCGCAAGGCACTGGCTGACCGCGGTCACACATTCAGGCACAGATAAACAAGGCAAAGGAGCAAGCAGCGAGACAGACCGTACAAACTAGGGCCCCAGCACCAGGAATTAAAGTCTAAAAGCACCAACTGGAAAAACTCTTGGGGTCAGTGTGCCGGGAGAAGCTCCCAGGCTCACAGAGAGTTTGTTGGAGAGACCCACAGGGTCCTGGAGAATGCACAGGCCCACACACTGCGAACCAGCACCAGAAGGGCCCAGTTTGCTTGTGGGAAGCAGCAGAGGGCATGGAAATCCAAGAGAGAGTGGAACAAAGGCCATCGCGCCTCTCTGACCCCGCCCCCACACATACGTCACAACCCAGCGACTGGTGAACACCTAAGGCTCCACCCCTCATCCGTAACCGGTGAGAACACACCACAACATTATGGCTCAGGAAGAACCGCTCAAAGCCCCAGAGTCAAAACTTCTAAGCGACTAAGAGATAGCCAACCTATCAGATGCACAGTTCAAAACACTGGTGATCAGGATGCTCACAGAACTGGTTGATTTTAGTCACAAATTAGAGGAACAAATGAAGGCTAAACTAATTGAAATGGTGGGAAATACACAGGAAACCAATAATGATGGAAAGGAAACTGGGACTCAAATCAAGGGAGCAGACCAGAAGGAAGAAAAAAAAGACCAAACAGAAAAGAATGAAGAAACAAGAATTCAGAAAAATGAGGAGAGGCTTAGGAACCTCCAGGACATCTTTAAATGTTCCAATATCCGAATTATAGGGGTACCAGAAGGGGAAGAGGAACAGCCATGAGTGGAAAACTTATTTGAACAAATAATAAAGGAGAACTTCCCCAATCTGGCAAAGGAAACAGACTTCCAGGAAGTCCAGGAAGCTCAGTGAGTCCCAAAGAAGTTGGACCCAAGAAGAAACACACCAAGGCACATCATCATTACATTAGCCGAGATTAAAATGAAGGAGAGAATCCTAGAAGCAGTAAGAGATAAGGGGACAGTCACTTACAAAGGAGTTCCTATCAGACTGTCAGCTGATTTCTCAAAAGAGACCTTACAGGCAAGAAGGGGCTGGAAAGAAGTATTCCAAGTCATGAAATCCAAAGACCTACAACTAAGATTTCTCTATCCAGCAAAGCTTTCATTTAGAATGGAAGGGCAGATAAAGTGCTTCTCAGATAAGATCAAATTCAAGGAGTTTATCATCACCACACCCTTATTACATGAAATGTTAAAGGGACTTACATAAGAAAAAGAAGATAAAAAAAGATGAACAGTGAAAGGACAGCAAACTCACAGTTATTAAGAACCACACCTAAAATAAAAGCAAACTAAGAGGACAGCTAAATCAGGAGTGGAATCATAGAAATGGAGATCACACGGAGGGTTAGCAACAGGGGAGTGGGAGAAGAAGGGGGGAGAAGGTACAGAAAATAAGTAGCATAGACGGTAGGTAGAAAATAGATAGGGGGAGGGCAAGAATAGTACGGGAAATATAGAATCTAAAGAACTTGTGACACATGGACATAAACTAAAGGGGGGAATGGTGGGGGAGGGGGTGTACAGGGTGGAGGGGAATGAAGGGGGAAAATGGAACAACTGTAATGGCATAATCAATAAAATATATTTTTTTAAAAAAGAAAGCATCATTTAAACTCTTAGAAAGAAACACACACGTTGGTTCTCAACCCTGACTGTATACCTCCCATGGATTTCTAAAAAATACTGGTGCTGGGCCCTGCCCCACCTCCCCCGACAAAATTCTGACTGGTCCAGGGTACAGTCTGGATGTGAGGGTTTCTTTGAAAGCTGGGCCCCACTCGATGCTATCAGGCAGCCAGGGCTGAGAACCTCCATTGTATAACAGGCAGTTTTATCGAGATCTCGGAAGGCTTGGAATTCTCAGATGAGGACCTATTTCACTGCACCAGGCCAAGATTTTAAATGCCCACACAGCACTTTAGAAAAAAAGAATTTTAGAAAACACGAGATAAAAAGGAGAATGAGAGAAAAATCCCAATGTGCTGAGCTCCAGCTCTTCATCCTGCTAGGCAGGAGAGGCGCCCTGGGAAGGGAGGGGAGCTCCTCCTGCCCTCGTTCTCGGAATCTCAGTGGGTGAGTCACCCTCCCACCCCTCCTCCTCTGGCACCAGCCGCAGCTGTCACGGCGCCTTTCACAGAATTGCTAAATGGAGCCATTTCTGGATTCTAGGAATTAAACAGGGAATGCTCCCACCCCTGCCCAGCAGGCAAACCCTCCTCCACCCTCCTCCAGCCCCGAAAGTGACTCTCTCTCTACCCGGCACCAGCCACTTGCTCACTGGGCCCCCAGGAACGAGGGGGCAGGCTGGCTGGGGTTCGTGGGAAGCTATGCTTGGGCGGAGGCCAGGCTGGGTGGCCCCCATTCCACATGTACCCTAAAAAGACATTCGATGCATGCATATCTGCACTAGGAAAGCACGGGAGACCACTTTTATGCCCATCAGCAGGGACGAGCGCAGCCCCTGCACCCCGCAATGGCATCTGCGAAGCCCTCTGCAGAATGAAGAAGCTCTTTCTGTACGACTAGAGAATAATATCCAGTTTGCTGATGGTGTGAAAAGCAGGGTGAGGACAGTGTATGTTGCAGGCTACCGTTTGTTTAAAAAGGGGTGGGGTGGGGCTGGGGTGTGTGAGATAGATACGCGTGTGTAGAATATATCTGGGAAAAACTCAAGTTGTCCCTGGGAGAGGGAACGGAGGGACTTGGGGGCCAGGACGGAAGATGACGAACCCTGTGTGAGAATGCCCTTCTGGATCATTTTGTTTTAATACACACACAGCGTTTTGTGCCGTGTGTGTGTATTAACTTCGTTTTTAAGCCACTCTTCCTCCACAGCGCAGGCCGGTGCAACGTAAACAACAACGAGGGCTCAGAGGTGTGCACGCCCCACCGGCTGCTCTCCTGCGGGGTTGGCTCCCTTCCCCAGGACGCTACAAGCTGAGCGGGCAACACGAGGAGGTAATGATGAGCTGTTCAGACAGGACAGAACTTCCTGGTCCGCATTTGAACAGGCCGCACAGAGTGTCCTGAGGGAGGTTGTGGCAAGGGACAGCTGTGGGAGGTTCCAGCCATCGCCTGCAGGCCCCTGGGCTCCAGTCCCCAAAATCACTCCCGAATGTGACTCCAGCTCACGGAGCATGTCAAACTCAGTGTCAACCCTCAGTGTCAACTCAAAGGCATGAAACATTTATTAGCATGAAGATACAGGGGGCACTGAACTTTTTTTAAACCACTTTTTTTTTTTTTTAAGGATCTTATTTATTTTTAGACAGAGGAAGGGAGGGAGAAAGAGAGGAAGAGAAACATCAGTGTGTGGTTGCCTCTCATGCGCCCCCTACTGGGGACCTGGCTCCACAGCCCAGGCATGTGCCCTTTGGTCCGCAGGATGGCGCTCAATCCATGGCGCCACAGCAGCCAGGGCGAGGGCATTGTTAACAAGGGTAAAGAGACTGTAAAACGTCTTCTTTCACGGTGTCCCCACTACAGAAACGATACCTGCGGAGGGGAACATGTTCAGGGTGAGGCTCATCAGCTTGGAGAAATGTGACCTCAGACAGGTAAACGGCATTTAGCCAACCCCTGGAATTCAGATCTTTTTAACCCAAAGGCTCTGTGGCACCAGGCAGAGTCCACATGATTCTCACTAAGCAAAACCCCTTAAGGAACTCCCTCCCCTCCCATGGCCCGTTAACAACAGCGTGAATGAGCTGCGTCACACTAAGGATTTACAAAACCAAAGGGGTCTCCAGGGAGCCTGCAGCTTTGGGCCTGGCCATGAACTCAGAGGCCAGGGGCGCCTCAGCCTGTCCAGAGGGTACTTTCCCGAGAGTTAAAATCCTGCAGCATTTTCAGATACTGCTTCTGGGCGTGGAAAGCATGGCAGCTGCTTGGGAAAACAGCTGGGCAGTGCTTCTAATTACATAACCTAGCAATTCTGCTCCTGGGCACACACCCAAGAAAACTGAGGACATAACATCCACACAAAAAAGTAAACATGAAGGTTTGCAGCGGCATTATTCACAACAGCCCCAGGGTGGAAACAACCCCAATGTCCGTCAACTGGAAAATGGGTAAATAAAATGTGGTATAGCCATATATAGAATATTATTAGAGAATCAATAGAAAGGACTGATACATGATACAACACAGATGAATCTGGTAAATATCCTGCTATGTGAAAGAAGCCAGTCAGGAAGGACGACACATCATGTGACTCCATTATATGAAGTGTCCAGAACAGGAAAATAAAGCTACAGGGACAGAAAACAGGTTGCTTGGAGTTGGAGAAAAGGGATGGGGGATTATGGGGTGCTGGCTGATGGGCGTGGGATTTGGGGTGAGGAGGCAATGGAATGCTCTAAAATTGACTGTAGAAGCAATTACACAACACTGTAAATATACTAAAAGTCACCAAAGTACCCACTTTAAACAAGTGGAATAAAAAATATATCTCAATAAATATGCTGGGGCAGGGGTGGGGAATGCTCACAAAGGGATGCCACTCCTGAGGAGGGCGGAGCCTCTCAGATGGGGCAGCCAACCAGCTGTGAGATGCAGGGCACTCTGACCCCTCCTTTTCTTGCAGGCGCCTTTGGCTGCAAGGGGGTGGTTAGCCAAGCAAGCCTCCCTCAGGGCTCAGCTTCAGAAGCAGCTCCTTGACCAGGAAGCCCTCTTCTGGGGGGAAGACTTTGGTGTTTGGGACAGACAGCGTGGAAGCTGTGCTGCATGTGAAAACAGTAACTCCACCCTCACCCCCACCTAGAGACAGTGGGGTCGCACAGTACAGTCCACAGCCAGGCCTCTCGGGCTCCTCAACACCGGGCCAGCTGTGCGGGCTGGATGGTCACAGTGGGAAGAGGGCTGCATTGGAGGTCAGAGGACTGGGGTCAAGTCCCGGCTGTGCCTCGTGCCTCAAGCTCTGCTCTGGAGTCTACACAGTAATGGCACAGCCTCGGTGACATCTGATCCTGCCAACGACCCGCCAGGGAATAAGCAACAGGACCGTGTACAGTCAGCAGCATTCGGTCATGCAGCTGAGCAAGAGCTTGGCGTGTTTTTGAAAACAATTTGAAGTCCAATATTCTTCCCCCTAGTTTTCCTATGTGGCCTTAGACAAGTCACTTGACTCTCTGAATCTCACTCGCCTCATCTTAAAGTGAGAGCATTCAAAAGGGAATCCCTAAGTTTCCTTCCAATGCTAACATCCCATTATTTTCTCTTATCTTCCTTTGAGGTAGCCTTTCATAGCCTTTCTTTCCGCATTTTAAACACTGTTATGTTCTTTCCCAGCTCTTGCCAAGTGAGATTGTCTTCCGTCAGAAAGAGAAGAGCTTGCCATGCTGAGCCGGATCTGAACACAGTCTATTCTATACTCCTGCCACGCCAGAGTCTCCAAACCACACAACCTGTATTAATAAACGCACCCCGACTGATGTTAACTCAGAGCTTTCCTACCACTCCCGCCCAGGTGGTTTCCTTACTGTGCAAGGAAAACAGCCTTACATTTCCCTGTTGCTCCCATCGACGCCTTAGAACTGATGCCTTGCTCCTCCTGCTCACCTGAATTTGACTCTAAGAAAATGATACCTGACTTTTCAAAGTAAATCAGGTAGCCAGATGGAGAGCTGAGATGAGTAGTTGGGTAGATGAATGGCTGGAGGGATAAGTGGACAGGTAGGTGGTTAAGTGGAAGGGCAGAAAGGGACGAATGAATGCCTGGGGAGATGGACGCACAGAAGGGCGGCTGGGCGATTCAACGTGTGCATGTATGTCTGTGTGGATGGACAGACACGTGAATACAGAAACGAGACTTAGGTGGGAGAAAAAGATACGCACTCAGTCCCGTCTTCGCCACATTGCACTGTGACCTGCGAAGCCCCCAGTTTGGGCTGGAAGATATTTATCACGTGGTTGTTCCAGAGGAACTTCACCTTCTGGATTTTTCCAACATTGAGGTTCACATCAATGTCACGTGCATGGCTGGCATCCGGTTTGAGGGACCCTCTGAAAGCAGAGACACAGAACGTTCCATCAGCTGGAGAGACGCACACCTGCAATGTCAGCCACCTACCATTTCTCCAAACACTGGCTGCTGGGTTTTTGCAAATACCGTCAATGACTTCATCACACCCAGGGACTGCTAACACGCAAATGTATTTGTGGAGAACACACCTTTGAGAAATACGAGATTCTACTTGTTTCCACGGTTTTAATTGGTACCCAGAGTGAAGTCGAATATTTGGGGTGGGGTATTAACTCTCTAAGTTCACCGCAGGACTCCTTACGTCTTATGTTTGGAGATGCCTTTGGTTCAGCAGAGGTCATTGTAGGCATCTCACATGGAGCACAGGAAGTTGTCAAAGAACTCTAACTTAACATGAGAGTTATTATGTAAAGTTAGTGCAAAAGCAGAATCTCATTTTACAGCACAGTTAAGCATTCATCCAAGACATTTTTACTGAGCAGCTCACACGCCCAGCAAAAGCTAGGTGCTGAGGCAGTCTCGGCGACAAGACGCTGGCCCCAGACTCACGTGCAGTGTGAGGAGGTGTGTGTTGGACAGGAAGGAGTTGCCTTATAAATGAGCCTTGTCTAAGGAGAATGTGATGTTCCCGAAACCCAAGCAGGAAGGAAGCAACGATTGACAGTCAAAAGGAGTCAGCATTTAACATAGCGAACTCTGGCCCTGGCTGAGTAGCTCACTTGGTTAGAGCACCATCTTGATACAGCAAGGTTGCAGGTTCGATCCCCAGCCAGGTACATGTAAGAACCAACCAATGAATGCATAAAATAAGGAGACCAACAAATCAATGTTTCTCTCTCTCCTTCCTTCCTCTCTGAAAATCAGTAAATAAACATTTTTAAAAGATAGTGAGTTCTTCCTCTCTGGGCATCACTTTTCTCATCTGGCGTGACTGAACTAGATGCTGAGACTTCCTTCTGGCTCTGACATTCCAGGACTCCATGGCTCTGCAGAATAGGTGGCTGGATTTATAAAGCAGTTTATGTCCAGTATTTTACAAATAACCTGTTGGGGAAAACATGGCCGTTTCGCTTTACTATCAAACTTACTTGAAAATCTCATATTGCTTTGAGTTTCCGTTACTTCCGTAGAGAGCAATCCTGATGTAGCCACTCACTTTCTTTTTCCCAGCCAGTGTGACTGAGACCTTGTATCTCCAAGCTGTGCAAAGAAAGGAATGCAACCCGTTCGATGGACTCATCCTATTGGAAAAAGTGACCCTAGGGAGGCACTGTCATTCCCAGCTCTGAATCCCTGGGAGTGTGAGCAAGGGGGCAATGTGACGAATGGTTACCTTCAGTGAAGCCGGGGCCCCAGGAATTGGGATTCCGGGCCGGCGTGAGGGACTCGGGGATATAAGTGTCACGGTCCAGCATGGTCTCTTGCCAGTTCAGCCGTGCGGCGGGCTGCTCTGCCCGTGGGCCTGTGCTGCACGTGACCACGCCAGCCAGGTCCCCGGGAGAGGGGGTGTCTGGGGCTCCAACATTTGGATACATCGCTTACTGTTCTCTGTTTTTATTTTTGTCATTTTGCCATGCAATGGACATATTCTCCATGGAAACCCACCCAGATCAATTAAAGAAATAACAAAAGGAAGGCTTCATCAACCCCCCATCCACCTGCCCTCCATCTCAGGTGCTTCCCGGAAGTCACCAGTCTGGTCTCTACACTTAGTAAGTCCAGGGGCAACTTTGCTTCTCAAGAAGGACATCTGGCTCTGTCTGGAGACATTGTCCATTGTCGCACCAGGGGAGTGGGGTGGGTGGGTGGGTGGGGGCTACTGGCGTCTCTCTGGTAGAGGCCATGGATTTTTTGAACATACTACAGTGCACAGGACAGCCCCCCCCCATCCCCAATAACAAATTATCCAATCTCCAATGTCAACAGAGCCAAGGTTGCGATTCCCCAATCTAGAGCTTCCTATGAGCATTTACACACGCTTATATGAATATATAAAACTATAGGCTTCTCCCCCTTCCGTCAATAGCACGCACTGTTATCCTCTATTCTCTCCACCCATCCCACACCAGACAATTCACGGCCCTTCTCTGTCCCGTCCTGTGGCTCCAGAAGGTTAACCTCACCTGGAACCCACGCCACAGGCTTTCTGTTGGGTTTGGTTCATGAGAGGTTTACACAGGAGGGCAGAGGCAGGAGGAGGGAGATGAAGGCATTTGCTCCTCTGCACCCTCCTTGTTCCAGTGCCAGGTGCCCGGCAGTAACTGGCTTCCTCTCCGATGCCACTCCATTCCAGGGGCCCCGTGGCCACTGGATTCTGGGAGCCTTGGCATCTCTGGTCTGTTCCCTTACCCCTGTCCACACCTCCAAAAGCAGGTGCTTCAGTGAGGTCTCTTCATACAAACCACCTGGGTGAGTGCCATTTCCTGCGGGGACCCTTGCTCATCCCTGGCACATTACATGTTGTTTTGCTATTTGCTTTGTCACTTAACATGCCTGAGAGGTTTCTTATCTCCTTTTTTAAATGGCTACGTATAATATTTGGCTGTGTATCAATTACACAGGGTTGACACAGGGGTGGGGGGACATGGGACCCAGGCTGGGCCACTCACTGCACCTCTTCCACTGATCAGGATTATTGGTTACAGGGGAGAACGTGAGACCCCAGACAAGTGCCATTCTACTGCCCTTCCACTGTACTGTCCTTCTATTCTAGCATAAGCAGGTTAGAGTGGGGTTTCTCTCTGTTGCTATCAAGGGTCCTAATGAATAAGGTTGATCCACCTTTTAACATTATTTGCAACTTTAAATGTATTTGCAAATTTTAAATGGGCAAAACAGAAACTTACTAGTGAAGTTACCACTCTCTCCTGTGTTCAGGAAAAACGTCTGTCCCACAGCTCTGGTTTTCCCCTGAAACTGGTCAGCGTAGTGCCCCATTTTGGGGCATCCTCCGACTGGACAAGGGAAACAGTTGCTCTAGTGGAAAAAAATAATTTGTCTGTGAGCCGCTGGCCTTTAACCTACCCACTCAGTTACTCAATGGATTAGTTCCTCTTCCCATCCACCCCCAACCCTCCATCCCTCACCGATTCTCTCATCTACCTAACCATCTTTCCATTCATCTATCCATTCTACCCTCCACCCACTGATGACTGCACACACGTATTCATCTTTCCCATGCCACCCATGCACCCTTCGAGAATTTTTCAGAAGGAACAGTGGAGGGTCTGGGGACAGCCCAGCCCAGGCAAGGCTGTGCCGTCCACCTCCCGCCCGCCCTGCCCCTGGAAGGAATGAGCAAGCCTCAGCATTATCAGGAGCTGCTCTTATCAGTCGTGCAGTTACAACTCTGTGCTGTTCCAAGGCACAAGGACAAAACCGACAACGACAGAGCCACCAGCAACACCGTCTCCAGGTGCCTGGGGTGACCCACCTCCTCAAACTCCGTGTAGGACGCACACGGGTAGCCCAGGAAGCCACTGGGGTTGAGGATGCTGCTTGCGTAGTACTTGTAGCTTCTCAGGTGATTGCAAGCTGCAAAGTCTCGGGTTCCTGAGGAAGGAAAAGCCACCAGAGCTCACAAAGGCCTTTCACGTGTGAAGCTTGACCCATTCTGACTGAGTAAGAAATTGCCACCACGTCTCACAGGTGAGCCTCAGCACTCCCGAATGCTTGGGTCACCATTTAAAGTTTCTATCATTGACTTCGACATACTTAGGGACAAGCAGGAAATTTGGGGACTCGTTTAACACTGGTGTTTGGCTAGAGTCGCTTTACGCCCCCCCCCCCCCCCCCCATGCTTGCATTTGCTGAGGGGGACCTACTCGGGCTGGGGCAATGGCTGAGCAGTGACAAGTTCTAACAAGGCATGTTTGTCCAAGCCTCCAGGGGCCGGGCATTGGACATAAATGAACGATGAGGGCTAGGGGCATGAGGGTGAGGTGGGGTGAAAAAATAGAGAGAGAGAGGAAAGAGAGAAGGAGAGAAAGAACATCAATCGCTTTAAAAAGGACTCTTCCGCAGGGCAGCCATTGTCAAATGTTAGGGCCCGGATTGCTTGGTCTTCCAATCTTTCATCAGAAGCCAGCATCTTGACTCTCACATAAAAATTGTTCATGCTTCAATGATTGCAATGCATTCCCATTTACTAACCTGTCACCATAAAGGCCAACCGCAGCTATGGGAGGTGGCGTTCTGCCCAAGGGCCACAGTTGGAGAACTCTGGACCTCACCGGACAGGCCTCTTACAGGAACCCAGCCTTTTTGTGTCTGCGGCCTCGGGCTGAAAAATTCCTCCTCCTCACTATTCCAGGCACAAGGTCAAAATGCGCTGGGGACCGAGGTCACCATGGCCATCTGGCCACTCTTCCACTGCATTTTATTTACTATCTTTTTCTTTAAATCAAAGTCCTCTTGTTCGCAAAATCATTTGTTTTGTCTCTCCAGCTACTTGGTACAGAACTTCCCATGGCGTGACCCACAGTGACCTCAGACATACCTGGGGACCACATCTGGGGGGTCTGGTGGGCTTCATCCACCACCCACGGAGAAAAGACAGGTGCCCTTTGTGCCGGGGGATTAGCTCACCACAGCCCGAGGCCCAGCCTGCCCACGGCCCAGCGACTTCCAGCCAAGCAGGTTAGTGCCCCACACCAATGCTCATTACCAGACGACACAACCTATTTCAAACTTAATTGTTTCTTTCATCCAAAATTGCTGCCCAGGGATCCCCTAATAGAGGAGCAAGGGGATTTCATTGTTCCTCGGCGCCCAGCACCGGGTGACTGGGAGGCCCACACAATAGAGGCGCACTCCAGTGTGCACGGGCTTGTTCATGCTAAATTGCCTCTTTAATTAAACCTGGGCTCCTTTCTATTATGTGTGCCCTGTTCAGTCACTTCTGGGAGGGGGCAGCCTTCATTGTGACTCTGGTGTTCCTTCGGGGGGTGGAGCAGCCATGTCCTCCCCGGAGTTACCTGGCGCTGAGTGGAGAGGAGGTCAAAGGCGCCACTCACAGCTGGCGGATGCTGGCTGCGGCTTTATAGACTCGACTCTTTCACATTCAGCACATGGGATATTAAAAGGCCACGAAGGCCGCTCAGCTCAGTGGAATGAACTGCACTGGGTTCTTCCTTTTGGTCAAACCCTGAGCAGGGTTCTGGGGTGTCTGGGATGCACAGGACACAGGCCCTGGCTTTGGGAAATGCCCAGCTCAGAACATCAAATGCTCAGATGAAATGACCACAGACTCAAAGCCCCCATTTTCAGGAAGGAGATGAAGTCGGGGCTCACGGGAGAGGCAACAGGAACAGAGCAAAGGCCAGGCTAGGGCAGCTAATGGAGATGGTGCTGTAAGTCACCTGAAATTAGGGGGACGGAGCCTGCTCTCTCGGATACATGGAGACACACCTGTGACGACACAGGGGCCGTCTATTACCCCTGACAAGCCCAGGGGAGACTTGCATGGTGGCCTTACAAACTCAGAGACCAAAAGCTACCACCTGGGATGGTCTGAACATAAAACTTCCTTACTAAAAGCACGGGTGGTAGTCGCGGCCCAGGCCTGTAGCTTCCTGCACGAAGGTCACTCTTTACCTTCACTGAACCTATTTTCTTTTTTTATGTAGGGTAACGTGCCTTTAAAATGCCAGAATAATCTTTTCTAGGCCCTTCAGAGCATCCCCCACCACCAGAGCCCCAGACCACAGAACCCTTCACTGTTATCCTGCTCCCCAAATACCACCCCTGTTTGCTGTAACCGCTGATCATCAACTATTCTGTACCCACCAGTGTAAAAGAAGGATGTGCTTCTCTGTTTTACTTTTTATCTGATTCCACAGTTTTTCCAGTTTGCTTTCTCTCTCCCCCTGAATCTACCAGCAGGTTTCATGTAACCCCCTTAGGTCCCCTTCTTTGATTCCAATGTATAAAATGAGCTGCAAAACTGCCCTTCTCCAGAGCATTTTCTCAGTCCCTTGAGACTTTCCTTCCCAGCAATTTTCATCAGTTTGGCTCAAATAAACTCATAAAAATTTTCTACAGGTTCGGATGTTTCTGACACCAACATACACGAGGCTTGTCGGCCCCAGATGGCCAGGCCCCCCGCTCCATGCCTGCGCTTCCTGACCCCACAGAGCACATCCCCACTTGGTCTTCTTACCAGCTCCGTCCATTTCCAGTCCTAGCACCTGACAGCAGCCAAGGGTGAGAAAATCAAAGCCTGCTAAGTCTTTGCCTGTACCCTTCAAGAAGCAAGCAGTACAGGCAGGCTGGGGGAGGGGGCGCAAGGCTGGGGCTGGGTGTTTGCCAGTGTGCCTGTTCAGCTCATGTCTCCGCCTCCAGGTAAGGGGGGTGGTGACACAGGCTGGGATATGAGGTCGAGGCTTTGCAACCAGGAATTGGGCTTCAAAGTAAGGTGGCCTTGGGCAAGTTTTGTAACTTTTCTGATCCAGTTTCTTCATCTGTAAAATGGGGGTAGGCAGAGGAACGATCTCAGGGCACTGTTCTGAAAACGCCTGGGAGGGAATGAGTACCCTGCAGGCGTGGTGAACTCGGTACTACGAGGGCCAGCCCACGCATTCTGCTTTTCTCCCCGAGCAGAGCAGCTGCTGTCTTGCTTTTCGAGTGTACATACCTTCCCATAGTCCATTTATATCAATGATGGTGGAAAGGATGTTTTTCTGACATCCAGGCATTTGCTTTCCTCCATTTGGATAGAAATCCAGATGGCCCACCTTTTGGCTCATTCCCAAACCTGAAACATCGGAAGCAGAGGTGAGCAGAGTGGAAAGTGGTCCCAAGGTGAGGCCACGGCCCCAGAGGTTGTCCAACTCCTTCCATCCAGTGCGAGAGTGTTCACGAATCCCCGCCTCGGCTTAGCTGCCCTGGCTGGCTTTGCTGACCATTCTCAAAGATGAGCGCTTGGGAAGACAAGGAGGGAGCAGAGGAAGGGAGCATGCGTACATGTACATCTGTATGTGTCTCTGTCTGTCTGTCTGTCTGTCTGTGTGGGAGGCCCTGGAGAATTCTGATACACCCTGATGCCATTATGCATCAGCAGACATGTATCGGGACTGGTACAATTTCTATGACCTTATTCATTTAAAAAGTTTGATTTCTAGTTACAGTGTTGTGTTGAGACCACACCACACTCCACTGTTATGCTGAGGGCCCCGCACAATGGCTGGGTGCACACACAGGTCACACAGACCTGTGACCACATCCAGGTCCTACTTACACACGCCGGGATCTTGGGTAATTACTGAAGCTTTCTGAGTCTCGGTTTCCTCAGCTAGGAAATAGTAATAATGCTCACTTTTCAGGGTTGTTACTATGGTTAATGAGCTACTGTGCACAAAATGTTGGAGGCAGCTCATGGTAATAATTGTCATTATTAAAAACATATCCTTTATTGGCATATTTCATGACCGGTTATATAAAAAAATAGTTATATAGAAAAAAAAGAACACTGATTTTATTTATTATTTATTCTTTACATCATTTCATTCAGTTATTTTAAAATTTTAATTTATTTAAACTAAAAAAAAAACAATCCACTTGTTTGGTTTTAGAAGAATTAAATAAAGGAATATATTGAATCTCCAACAACACAGACTATTACGAAAGCTTTCACAAAAGAAGTAAGCAAAACATTCCAAGGTTAACTTTGCATTTTGCAAGTACAGGTCAGGCATCAGCAATACATACACCTGCCACTCTGGATAGTGGCAGGCCAGGAAGGGCACGGGGTTTGAAGACTGAGCAACAAGCTTCCATAGGCTAGAGAAGTGGGTTTTTTTGGGGGGGTGGGGTCCATCTGTGGCCACACTGGCCTGGCACTGGCTGTTCACTTGTGGCTGGCACCCACTCTAACTGGCCAGTGTCTGGGCTATTCCTGTAGTGAACCATTTTGCACACCACCCCTGCAATGTATGTGTGGGGGGTGGTGTGTGGGGGGGGGCCCTGGACCTACTCTCACCAGTTACACCCAGGTCACCGAGAGGTGGAGCAGGGCACTCACCTAGGAAAGGGACGAAGGGCGAAGAATCTGTGTGGATCACGTCTACAAACATGGCGTCAGATGCGTCCAGCCGGACTTCCTCGGGCGTGCCCTGGAAGCATGGCTCTGCTGGGTCCAGTCCTGAAGCAGGGGGGGGTGCACAGTGAGGCCATATTCTATGACAAAGCAGGTTCTAACCCCTGTACCCACAGAATCCATGAGGATTTCTGCCTGAAGCAGGGCTGTGCCAGCTCATCTTCAAAGAGAAGCAGAGGGTGGAAGGAGCAGGGTACGCAGGACGCAGTGACCTACATTCTAGCCCAGGTTTGCTCAAGTTCAAACGTCTGTCCTCCCTGAGCTTCAGTTTCCTCATCCAGGAAGTGGGAATAACAGCAACCTACCTCACAGGGTCATCGTGGAAACCCCATGCAAAGGGGTAAGAGAAAGAACTTTGCAAACAGAAAAATTCTCCTTAAACACAACTGTTAATCCCCTTATCTTTCACCCAATGCCTAGTACGGTGCCCAGAGCAAAGAGGACATTCATTAAACTGCACAGTTACATACCAACTTGGCTAATTCTTGTGTGCCTTCATTTTGCCTACTGATTCATTCATTCATTCATTCTCAGTACTTTCTGAGTGCCTTCTAAGGCAGGGCTCGGAAAATTGAAGCTAGGCACTTCGATTTTCTGCTTGTGTTTGACACAGCAAAGACAATCAGGAAGTATTTGTGTTAAAAAGGAAAAAAACATTTCGCTTTTTAAAAGTCTGCCACACTCTAGCAATAATAATCCTGAAGTCAAGGGTTTCAGGTGCTAGTTATATCTTCTTTTTTGTAAGCGTGTTTTCACTTACAATCATATACATGTATTTTGTAATTCACATGAAAATATATGGACAATTATATTTTACTTGGCGGGCAGTTTCTAAAATCAGAGGACCAGTAGGACCAGTAGGGGCGCCCTTGGCCATGGGAAGTGCAAATGTCTGGGCTTCCACCACCCGCAGGCTGCAGGACCCGTGTGTCCCCTACCTGTGATCCTGCCCACGAGGCCTCCCAGCCTCCTGCCCGCCTCCGCTGCTGCATGCGCGCCCAGGCTGTGGCCGATGAGGTGCACGTTCTCGAGGCTGTAACCCATCTCGGTCTGTGGAAGGATGATGTGTCAGGTCAGGTCCCCAAGGCTATGGCGGGGATGAACACGGGCTCAGGGAATGGGGATGGGGGCAGGTCTCCAGAGGAACCACAGGGGCTCCAGGACCACCTAGGACAGCGCGACCTTTGCCCCGGGCTGACGCAGTTTCCGGGTCCCCCGGCGCCGGCTGGTGCACTGGCCCGTGCGCTGGCCAACAGTGCTGACCAGCGGCCATCGAGTCAACTGCAGGCCGCCTGGGCGGAGCGCTGCCCGCTTCCATCCGCACCCACCGCGGGCCTTCCTCCCCTCCCCGCAGGGTTTGGGCCTGTCTGCTCTGGGGTGCTCCTTCCAGGAGCCTGGCAGGGGCTTTCCCTCATCCGAGGATGAGGACTCATCTTATGAACTGAGAAATGTTGGACAGCCCAGCCTGCTTTTAGAATCCCCACACTAGCCCGCAAGGAAAGATGGTTTCAAAGCGGGAAACTGAGAGGGAGGGCGGAAGGTTGCAGCTTCGTTTTAGGAAAAGCCCCTCTGTGCTTCCAGGCTTCGGGGCCCAGCCCCTGCCCACCAGTCCCCAGGCTGCCCTCGGCTGCACCCCCGGAGCTTGCCGGCCCCCTCTCTGCCCCTCCCCCACCGGATGCGGCCCAGGCAGGGTTTTACCGACAGTCCTTGTACTAAGAAAGCTATCTCCGCCCCCACAACTCGAATGTTGTGCACGGCTTGGGTGTATATTGTCCTGGCCCCACGTCTCCAATCCACGCAGATGCAGTTCACCTCCTCCACTTTAAACATTGTCTGGGGAACGAAAACAAGAGGGAGAAACCAATGTGTTAAAAGGCACAGGTTGCACACTCCGGAGATGGGTTGCACACCCATCAAGCACCTGGTTGGTGTCAGAGCCTTAATATTAGTCCCCCCACTTCTCCTCACCCTCATGGAGTCACTAGGACCTGGGTCTCTTACCCCCAACAGAACTGTCGTGGGCCCCGAACCCTGGAATGGAGGACGGGACTCGTCTAAGGTCTCCCACGCCATTATTGACACAGCCAAGTCAATAGTAGATCAGGGCTTAGCAAACTATTACCAGAGGGCCAAACCTGCCTGCTCCTATGAATAAAGTTTTATTGGAACACAGCCACACCCATCTGTTTACATAGGCTCCATCTCTGTTTCTCAACTACTGCAGAGCTGACCTTATGACCTGCCGATGCTAACAGATTTACCGCCCGGACCTTTATAGGAAATTGGCTAACTCTTGAACTAGGTAGTTGAAGCCACAGGGGAGCTGCTTGCATGTTCCCAGAAATGCAGGAGGGAGGTATAAGGCCCTGAGGGACGAGATAAAATTTAGACTGCGGTAGGCTGCACCACTCCTGGATGCAGGTCCCTTTTACGTTCTGTGGTGGGACCACAGTTTGCTGCCCAAGCACAGACACTGGTCCCCTGGGGGGACCAAATAAATGTCCGAAAGGGCCTCTGAGATCCTGTGTTCACTTGGGGATGGCCCAGACTGCAGCTTGGACTGAGGCAGGGAGGGGTTGGCTGGAGGCCAGGGCCGTGTGACTGACCACGTTTCCCTGGCTCTCCCAGCTCCAGGTTGACACGGCTGCCTTCTGGGACTGGGAGGGGGGGACATGTGTGAACACCCTAACATCAAGAGGAATAGAGGAGCCGTGGAAAGAAGCTGCCTGAGGTCTACCCCAATGCAGACTAAGCTTAAAGTCACGCCCACGGGCACCTCCCACAGAGGAACTCTGGACACATGGATTGTGGCGTCTTACAGACAGAAGACCTGGTGTTGCGTTCCAGCTCTGGATTCAACTCTGGGCGAGTACTGAACTTTTCCTGCCTCAGTCTCCCCCTCTAGGAAATGGGGACGATCAAATTTACCTTCCTCACAAATTTGCTGGGAGAATTAGATGGGACAAAGACTGACGCTGATTATCGGTGTTCAGCTCATCGTAAGTCCTCCGGAAGTGGACGTTATGAATAATAATTCATTAGTAATATTCGTGATAACTTTAGAACTACACTGTGCAATACGTTATGCATAATAATTCATTAGTAATATTTGTGATAACTTAGAACTACACTGTGCAATACCGTGGCCACCTGTGGCTATTTAAAATTAATTACAGTTAATGAAATTTAAAATTGAGTTCTTTGGTCACACTTGGCACATTTCAAGTGCTCACTAAGCACACAGGTGGCCAGTGGCCCCTGATCTGGACAGTGAAAGCATAAAACAGTTCTACTGTCACAGAAAGTTCTGTGGGGTAGCAGGACTTCAGAGGGTAAAGTTAAAGGTTTTTTTTTTTTTTTTTTAATGTCCTATAGAGGTTTCTATACACCACCGGATACAAATGCCAGGGAATTTGTAGTCTCCACTTCTGGAACTTTCTAATTAAATCTTCACCTGAGTGTATGTTTATTGATTTTAGAGAGAGGGGAAGGGAGGAATTTGAGAGGCGGGGAAGAGAAAGAGAGACCAATGGGAGAGAGAAACTTCAATCAGCTGCTTCTCCAATGTGCCCCAACCAGGGATCAAGTCTGCAACTTAGGTATCTGCCCTGACAGGGAATCAAACCTGCAACATTTTTGGTGCGTGGTTTGCTTCCACCAACTGAGCCACGCAGTCAGGGCTTCTGGGGTTTTTTGCTTGGACTCTGGGTCTCTTCAGCCTCAAGAGGCGATGGCTGGCTAGAAGTCGGTAGGTTGGGAGAACTTGACAATGGATGGTTCTGAGAACCCAGGGTTTCCTTGGGGTTTTAAGGAAGGGTCTGTCTGTCCCTGGAGTGTCTCCTTCCCCAGTCTCAGGGGAATGAAGCTGCCACGTTGGAGCCCGTGTGCTGGGTGCCGGTCTCACAGGGAGTGGCCAGGTGAGGCGGGTGGGCCCCTACCTGGCACATGTCCAGCAGCCAGCTCTCCTCCCCCTTGTCTATGAAGCCGTGGATGATGAAGCGCGTCTTCCGGTCCAGTCGGAAGTTGGAAGCCTCGATGGTGGCTAGGTCCGTGGGGGAGATCCGCTGGTTAAAGTAGAGAAAAGGGATTTGGATGTTGGCCTTTCCAAGCCATAGACCTGTTAGAGCCATTTCTAGCAAGACTGAGCTCACAGGTTCAGCTCCCATGAAGTTGGGGGGTTAAAACATGAGTGCCCAACCGGGGGTTCAAGGATGAAATTCAGAAAGTCCAAGTTCACGGACTTTCTAGCACTTCTGCTAATTATAAAATTGGAAAACAAGGCACAGTTGTCATAGCAACATTGTTGCAAATAAAAGCCAGATATTTTCATGTCACGTTATGGTTGTTGCAGACATCTTAAAAATCATGTATTTTCTTTACTATTTTAAGGAATAGTAGTCACTACTTCAACCCCCTAGATCTTGTTATTTAGTGAGATAATAATAAAGCAGCACATATATGACTATCACATAGATATCTTTTTTAATGTTCCGATACCCATCTTTTAATACAGTTGGTTTCTTTGTAATCCAATGTATTTTATGTTGTGCAGGTAACACATTGTCCTGAGAAGGGGCCCTTATGGTGGAAGAGGCCCCCAGGGCAGAAAAAGTGCAGGGCCCCTGGGGAGGGAGCCCCACTCGGTGGAGCTGTGAGGAGAGTCGAGAGCCTGAAGGACCTAAGAACTGACGCCTACATGTCAGGGGTCTGCTCAGGCCCCTTCGCCAGCCAGGTCACTTCTGAGCACCCGGAGGAAGCCTGTCCTGTGCCGACCTGGCAGGCCTTCTGGGGACTAAAAGTTACTCCCTGGGTCCCTACCTTTTCACTTTTGTGGTTAAATGTCCGCTCTCCTCCACCTGTCTTCTAGCTCCTCAGGAAGGATTTACATCCCCCCGCCCCCACATTCCCCAAGCGGCTTCTCCCCTTCCACTGCCAAGTGCAGGAAGAAGACAGACCCACCAAGCCTGGATTTTTCTCCTGGATAAGTGCTGCCCATACCCCCTTCCTCCCAGGATCAGGAAGTTCCGAGCACACAGTGGGGGACGTGTGAGTTTCTGGGTTGTGCAGCCATAGACCTCATCGGGGGTCCTGATCCTGAGAGCCAGGTGGCAGACACTGGGGACGGGACGCCACCTGGAACACCCCATGCTCTCTAGACAGCTGCGTCAGGGCTCCAGGGCGGGTGCCCCCACCCCCACCCCGCAGTCGCTTCCTGACCGCTCTTACTTGGAAGTTGTTCGGATTCTCATTTGTGAACAGAAGAAACTGGGCGTCGATGTCCTTGGGGGGCCAGGGGAATAACTTCAAGGGCCGCTGAATGGTCCCAGTCCACGGCTGCTCGTCGGAGAAGCAGCCGAAAGGTGTGTAGCAGATGTCCTTTCCTGGGGCACGAAGAGCAACACGCAGACACTGTGAGGTTCCGGAAAGGGGCCTTGTCACCTCAGCCCTCCAAGACAACGTGTCATGGTGCGGCCAGGGCCAGTACTCATCCTTCCCTTGCTGTCAGTGTCCCCAAGTTCCATGGGGACACGAATCACTCGGTGGCTGGAGGTGAATGTGTGTGCCCCAGGTACACATTCCCAGCCCCTCCCTCAGAGATTCTGAGTCAGAGGGTCTGGGGAAGGGGGCTGGAAACCTCACATTTAATGAGGCTTAAGCCTTACCGCCAGGACGGTGGGGGAATGGCCGGGAGCCCCTGGGAATCTTCTACCTTCAAACTGCCTCTTCCGGGAAGCCCCGATGGCCCTTGCATGTCTTCATCTGGCATCGAGTATTTATTAGTCCCTGTGTCGCTGCCTAATGTGCCCTGACATCTACACTGAGCCCGGCACAGCCCACGTGCAGCCGTTCATGGCCATGGTCCAGTTCGCATGTCTTCACGTCATCCTTTCACTCACATTGTCCCCCAAGTCATTCTCTGTCATTTCAGGTTTTCCCTGTTGTTTTCTGAAGAGGGAAATTTCTCAAGACCAGGGATGGTTTATTTCTGCCTCGTTTTGTCTGTGGTAGGGGCGCAAAACTTGCAATAGACAACTCCCAGTAACCACATCTACGCCCGAGGGTCCTTTCTCTAGTATATAGCACAAACATTTTCACAGGAAGTGGTCACCGCAGGGGGACATGGTCCAACCTGGAGGATTTCAATGGGTCCTCTCTCTTGGGCTTCCTCACCTCCTAAACTGATGGTGCCATATGTTGGTCATTTGCTCAAAAACTGGTCATAGTTAACACTTGTTTACTCTGTGCCAGATACCCCACTGGTGCTTTACCAGTATTTTCCTGTTTAAGTCTCCAAGCTGCCCATGAATGAGGAATTACTTCCATTTTACAGATGGAAAAGCCAAGGCACAGAGAGATAGAGTAAGCTGCCCAAGATCACAGCCCATGGTAGTGTCGGGACTTGAACCAGGGACATTTAATTGGGAAGTTTACTAAACACGGAGGAGGCACTAAGACAGATTGGGTACAAGCCCTGCCCTAAATGATGGGGAATCTAACAGGGAAGGAATCGTGATGACCTTGACTGACAAATGCAGGGGCTTGAAGGCCAGGTCCAGGCACCTGGGCTGTTAGGTGGATAGTGGGAAGGTGCTGGAGGGTGCCGTGCTGGTGAGTAGGGTGGGGACTTGCACTCCATGAAGGTGTTTTGGGAAGCCAGGTATAGGTGGCTCGGAGACAGGGGGAGCCTGGGAGAGGTGGGGATCGGAGTGGGCAGGGCAGGGGTGGCGGACCTTACAGGTAACAAGTGTTGTAATCCTGGATGACAGCGGACACGGAGGGAAAGGTGGGGAGATGGCGGTAAGGAGCGGAGCCAAAGCCTGGACAAGTGAGTCTGAGGCATGGTGGGCGGCCCTGGCGCGGGCGCTGCCTGGACACTGAGGGGTGGGATGGGGCAGAGGCCGGGCAAAGGGGCAGCCCCGAGGAAAAGAAGGATGAGGAAAGCGCCCGGGAGTGACCTGTGGGGGATGCCCACCGTTAGGGCAGGCGGAGGAGGTAGATGAGCGAAGTATTGTCCTGTGTCTGCCGCAGCATCAACGCTCTGAACGGCGGTGATTGTGTTTTTCTTGAGATAATGCTCACGCCATTAACTATTATGATAGTCATGATGACGATGCCTCTAACTGCCTCACCCAAAGGCCAGCCCAGGCACAGTCGCTGTCTCCCCAAAGGGACAGTGACAACATCCTCACCTCTGACTGTGGCCAGCAGGAGGAGGCCGATGGACCAGGAGAGCAGCATCTGCACGAGGAGAACACAGACACACAGACAGTGAGGACGGCCACTGAGCCCAGACAGGGCAGGTGGCCCGGAGCATACCGGGGTTGGTGAGGGAAACAAGCTCAGTGCCGGGGCCCTGTTGGGCTGTCCCCGGAGGCCGGGACACTGGGGCTGAGGCCCTCCCCACACACGGGGAGAGGGGCAGCACCTCTGCAGAACCCCAGACTCAGGGTCTCCCGGTGCAGTGGCTTCCCCACCTGTGGGCAGCCGCGTTCCTGCCACACTCCCTGCCTGCCCAGAGCCATGAGTTACCTTGCGATGTTGGGGCTCCACCCAGCCCACGGGCTGGCCGAGGCCTTTTATAACCAGGCTTTATCCTTTGGACTCCTTAGAGGAAAGGACACGGAGGAGAGATAAGTGTGCTTTGACCCGAGGTTATCATAAACACATACAGCCAGCTCAGCCCGGGAGCGGGGCCATTTACAAAGTGCTATTTGGGGAAAGAAAAACGGACTTTGGGGGTAGGAAAGGCCCCTGCTAATGTGAATATACAGATTCAGCTGTCGAAAGATCACATTCCACAGGTGACGACAGGGAAGCACCAAGCCCCCTGTTCCAAACCCATTCAGACACGCGAGCCCACCTCGTGGCCCGACGTTACAGGCAGCAATGGGCCGTTTGCAGACCGTGCTGCCCCCAGGATGCGCCTGTTTGAGACGACACACACGTCCCCTGAACTTTAGGGGCGGGGCGGGTGGAGAGCAGCCCTCCAAAGAACCACCCGGAGAGTAAAAACAAAGGCAGCCCTGTTGCCCGAGAGAGAATAGAACCAACACCGTTGGAATATAGCTTTGTTTAGAAAAAAATAGTCTGCTTTCAGAGCATGTCTGAGCTGCCTCGACTGGACCTTGGCTGGGAGATACGGAGGTGGAGGTGGGTGGGGTCTTTTTTTTTTTTTTTTTTTTTTTTTTTTGTGCAGGGAGGAGGGCGAGCCTGGGTTCTGAACTGCCAGCTGCCGCTGGGCCATTTTTCCAACAGGTACTTTAGGCACGCCAGAGTGCGTGGACCTTATTAAACGCCAGTGCAGTTCAATGAGCTTGGACGAATGTGTACTCTTTTCCATAGGCTCCAGGTCAAGACAGAACACATCCCCAGCATCCAGAAGTCTCTCTCATGGTTCCTCTAACCCCTCCCCCACCCCATAACAGTGCTCTGGTATCTTGCACCATAGATTAGTTTGGTCTGTTCTAGAATTGCCTATCAATGGAATTATTAGTCAGGTTTTTGAGGTTCATCGTGTTGTTGCTTGTGTCGGTAGTGGCTTCCTCCTCACTGCTGGGCCGTGCTGATGTGTTTCTGTGCGAAGGCATCACAGCTGGTTTACCCACGTGGGCTCTGTTTCATCTGGGACTATTACGAGTGATGCTGCTAGGAACGTTCTAGTCTAGTACAAGTGTTTGGTAGACACGTGCACTCCTTTGCTCAGTTTGTCCCCAGGAGTGGAACGGCCTGGGTCCTGGGGTGTGAACACTTTTCCAAAGGGGCCACACCTGTGTCAACTCCCACTGGCAGCTCGGTTCCAGCTGCCACTCATTCCCCACCCCCACACTCTGATCAGTCCCAGGCACACTCCAGTCGCCAGCAATTTCCTGAGGGTTTCAATGATAGACAAATGGCCTCGTCAAGGTTTCTGGGAATGGTAAAGGGACGAGGAAGCCTGAATGGGGTCACCTACACCTGAATACCCAAGCCTAATGTTGTCACCCTGCTGCCCCCAGAGGTGTCCAGCAGCTGGGGATGGAGTCAAAGGCACATAAAGGACCCCACTGAGGAGGACGTAACGGCGGCATTAGGCCAAATGGGAGCCCTAGACCCGAGACACGGGGCCAGCGGTGCCCATCACTCTAGGGCAGAGATACGGGGTCCTGCGGCATGTGCTCCTTGGTGTCCTGCTTCTTTCACGCGACAGGCCTTTGAGATTCACCCACGCTGTTACATGTGTCAGTGCTGAGTGCCAGTGTCACAGAAATGAGTCTACAAACCTTGGTCCTTCCACCAAGGCAAGGTCTAAACAACCGATCACGGAAATATAATTACCAACCGAGACAGGTTCCGGGGGAGACAAGTAAGGAATGTGATAGGAATGTAAAGGAAGATCTGGTCCCACTCTGGCCCTGAGGAGGGCTTCTTGGTGGATATGACATTTAGGCGGAGCCTTGGGGGATAACTTTGACCTAGGTAGGGACAGAGTAGTGGTAGTGTGTTTTAGGAAGAGGGAGCAGAACATGCAGAGACTCAGGGATGGGTGCTTCCCCAAAACTACACAAGGCCAGCCCGGCCGGTGTACCTGGAGCTCACTGAGCAAGGGAGAGGGGCTCAAGGGGGAGGGGGAAGGAGGCAAAGTCTGGTAACACTGCACCCCAAAGGGCATGGTAAAGAGTTAGGGTCCGCGGGTTGGCTAACTTCCAGATCTCTCCTCCCTTCTCCTCCCGGCCCCGCGTCCTGGAGGATGCTCCTGCGGCCTCTCTGCACTGCTTGCCCTTGGCCTTCTGGTTGGGTTCAGCCCAGGCACCTCCAGGAGATCGGAGGTGGGGAAGGAGAGGTTAGAGCAATGGTGTCAGACTCATTTTTACCGGGGCTACATCAGCCCTGCAGTTGCCTTCAAAGGGCCGAATGTAATTTCAACGCCTCAACAGTTAAGGAGTAGTTACTTAATTCAGTCCTAAAATTATGTCGGCCCTTTGAAGGCAACCATGGGGCTGACGTGGCCCCCACTGAAAATGAGTTTGACAGCCCTTGGTTAGTCTGTCCAGACTCCCTCCCTTCTGTGTGTTCGGGAAATGTCCGCACTTCTCTCCTGAGGAGAGCTGCTCCTCTCAAGCAGCTCCCTCCCCTGGCCCCAGCGCCTTCCAGATTCTTCTGACAGCTCCCTCCCTCCAGGCTTCAGGCCCCAGGGCTGCCAGAGCTCCTGGCTGCTGCCAGTCTCGGGTGCTGCAGGACTGCCGGTGGGTTTCCTTAATGCTTACAGACACCTCTGTACGGAGGCCCTTGGAGAGCCCTTTGAGGGGACCAGCTCTTTGCCACTGGGGCTCCTGACAGGTACAGCTGGCCGGTGGACGCCCCCTGAGAGAGGGTGTGGTTCAGAGGCCTGTGGTCCGTCTGGGGGTGGGGACGAGCTAGGTTTTGGGCACCTTCCTCTCCTGACTCCATATTCCTCGTGAGGATTTCTGTTCATATTAGGAAAGGGCTTGGGATTGTGTAGCTGTTGGGCTTTTGGCTTTGTAACGCACACCAATAGCAGCCAATCTATTCTGGGACTTGGCTGTAGTTTTTTGCCCAAGGTTCAGTAAGTTACCTTCAGGTAATCAGTGGGTCCCGTCACCCATGCCCTCCAGGTTCCAGCTACAGATGAGTCAAGGAACCAGGGAACTCAACTTGAGTGACATTGTATCTGGTCTGCAGCCACCCCCAGAGGGCAGGGCTGGAGAGGAGGGGAGGGTGTTAGTTCAATTCTTGTTATTTCCAGGTCACCAGGCTCTGTTGTAAATGCCAAGGTCAGATCGCGGTCACCCCTGTCCTTGAGGGCCTTAGTGAGGCAGATTTGTTCAATGTAAGGAAAAGCTTTCCAAGGGTTAGAATCATTGGGAAATCAAATTTTTTCCTGTGGGCTTTGCTGGTGGGGAGTGACCCCCTCCTCACGTAGATGACATTGTGACTTGAGCAGAGGTAGACAGAAGCCAAGCCTCAGGTGAGTGTTGATTAGATGATCTACTTTTAAGGTCCTTGGCAAATCTGGGGTCCTATAAGAAATTTTGGAGACTGAGACCTAAAGACTCTACCTTTCTATGCCTGCAGAAACACACCATCCCCCCCCCCCATTTCAAAGAGGATCAGAAATCACCCAGGAGGTGACATGTCCCCAGGTAATGAGAAACAAGCTGAACAAACACATCTGGGGAATGTGATCTCAAGGGCAGGTGCTGGCCACGAGAAAGCTGAGCATCGGAAAGGAATCAGGTGGTGTTTGGGTCGAAAGCCATCCTGGAAGGAAATGACAGCGGTCAAACCACAGCTCTCAGAGCTGTAAGATGCTCAAGAAATAGAGCACGTTGTTTATTCCCATTTTACAGCCAGGACCAGTGGGGCCCTGAACGATTAAGGGGTTTAGTTCAAGGTCAAGTGGAAGAGCAGGCCTTGACCTCAGGGCTCCACCTCTTGTTCTGGTGCTAATGTTTTCTTATAGGTCTCAGTTTGATGACCTGTGATCTGGGTGGAATCTAGGCCACTGATTTAGGAACATTGTCCCTGCGTAAAGCTGGGCCCCCAGGAGGGCTGGGCACCCCCCCACAGTCACCAGTCCGAAGCAGCCCTGAGCCTGCCTGGCTCTTTGGCAAGGAGGCCCAGAGCAGGCCGGAGGGGCTCCAGGCTGTCTCCCATTTGCCCACCGAGACAGGGCCAGCTCAGCATCGCCCTCCTTTCTGGGGACCTAAAGTTCTGAGATTCCACCAGCTGTGTGCCCTGAGAAGCCAGGGAAGGCCAGCACCTGTGGGAAAAGTCATTCACTGTCACATGTCCGCAGGTGGCAGGGCCAGCGCCTGGGGGCAGCCTGGGCAATGGGGGTGGCTGGGTCCTCATCCTGCATCCTCAGGCCTGTTGGAAGTTTGTTCCTCTTCCTCAACACCTCTTCTCTGACGTGTTCCCTCCCCTCCACTCCCCTGCCCTGTCCCCTCTGGTCGTCCTCCCCCACAGCTTCCTCCCTGCTTTAACCCTGCGGTGGCTCCCTGATGTCCTCAGATGCACCTTTCATGTGTTTGTTCGCTCATTCAGGTCTGTTTCTGTGCGGCTGCACCGTGGGGGATGTTCTTCCAGCCTTGAGGGTGCTGCGGCGAACAGACACCCTCCCTCCCATCCTCATGCGGCTGATGGTCCCACAGGGCACAGACACTCTTTGCCTACAAATAACTACATAATTGCCGACGAAGAAAAAGCATAGGAGGGAGGGCTTGTGCCCAGGCTCTGTCGTTTGGGCTTTATCTGCAGAGAATAACTTGGGGGTACTGGGTGGAAAGGGGTCCAAATTTAGGTGGAATCCAAGCTCCTGAACCAGGCAGACAAAGTTGGCCCCTGTTATGGGTTGAGTTATGTTCCTCCCAAATATGTTGGGGGTCCGAACCCCTGGGACTTCAGAATATGACCTTATTTGGAGACGAGGTCTTTATACAGGAAAAGGGAGGTCAAGAGTATGCGTCCCAATTCAACCTGACCAGTGTCCTCATAGAGAAGGTGAATTTGGACACAGGGCCAGGCACCCAGGGAGACTGTCTGGTGACCATGAAGGGAGTGAGCTGGGCGATGCTTCCAAAGCCGAGACGTGGCAGGGTAGCCAGCAACCCCCAGAAGGAGAGCGGCGTGAACAGGTTCTTCCTCTTGGCCTCAGGAGGAACCAGGCCTGCCAACCCTTGGCCTTGGACTTTCCAGCCTCCAGAGCTGTGAGAGAATAAATTCTTGTTTGACTCATCCAGTGGGTGCACTTTGTTCTGGCAGCCTGAGCTGACCAACACTGCCACCCTGTGGCCTCTGCCCAGCTTCACCTCTGCCACCGCCTTGCCTCGCAGTCACTGAATTGGAAGACTCACTGTTCTGGAATGAACCAGCTTTCTCCCTGCCCCTGCTAGGGAGTGGGCTGCACTTCCATCGCCCCTGAGGAACCTGCCCCCGGAGCCCCCCTTTCAGGTCTCCCCTCCACAGGCTCGGTCCTCCTCCGTCCCTCCCTCTCCTCCATGCTGGCTTCTCCATTACAGGTGCTGGAGCCAACCCTCTGCTCCCAAAGCCTGTGACCCTGGGCATGACGCCCCCAGTTTCGGTCCCAGGGCCTAAGGATCCTCAGACCTGAGGAAATCCAGGGACACCACCCTCACTAAGGATTCTCACCACCCCCGGGACTTGTACTCACCTTGCCTTACGTCCCACGTACCAGGGAATAAGAAGGCTTCGTCTCTAGTTGGTTAACCTGTGGATTGTCATGAAAGCAAAAACACGAAATGAATGAATTCTCCGAGGAGAGAACGTCTACATCGCTGGGAGCTGGGCTCCTGTTGGAGTTTTTCTGAGACGCTGTGTTTCAGCAGGGCCGTGGGGAACCACCTGCGGGCTCGTTCTTGAATTGGTCAGCCAGGGGCCTGGGATGGCCCCATCCCCTTTTTTCCTTTAAGCTCCCAGGTGATTCTGCTAGGATGGAACGTGCTTCTGCTTGGCCCTGTGCCTGGGGATGTCCCAGAGGGCAGGGCCAGCCTTATGGAGCTTGAGGTGAATATGCAGGTCCTGGGCTGAGGGGCACAAAGCCCACCTTAATAAGCACGGCTTTGGGCCCAGGAACCCAATGTTCTGCATGCCTACAGCCTCTTCTTAGCTTTGGGTCTGGCGCCAGAGTGTGGCCACAGTCTTTGGGTTGCCTCACTCACCTTAATACTCACTAACTGTTTCCACGGTGCCGTTGATTCTTTTGTTGGAGCCTTAAGCCCACGATACCAGCAAGGCAGGGCTGGGCTGTTGCCTCCATTTTACAGATGAGAAAGCTGAGGCCCAGAGAGGCAGAAATCGTTGCCCAAGGTCACCTGGGTCGGCTAGCCTCCTGACTTCCAGCTCAAGGCCTTTTTTTATTGTTTTCAACCAAACTCCAGGTCCCTCGAGTTTTAGGTTAATAAACTGAATAGAAAGGTGGCTTATTTCCATCGCTCCAAAGGCTTCACCCGTATGCATTCTAAACATATCCTACCTTTGGTATTAAAAGAAACAAAACAAAACCAAAGCCCAATCAAAGTGGCCCCGTGTAGCCTCTGAAATCTGGAAATCTGACCAGATTGGGCTAAGCTGCGTGGACACCGCAGGTGTACCCCAGAGTAACCACAGAGAGCCCCAAACTCCCCACCTCCCAGGGCGGTGCGTTAGGGGTGTGGACGTAGGGGCTGAGCTTGGCCTCTCCGGTGGCGGTGGGCGGTGCGTTAGGGGTGTGGACGTAGGGGCTGAGCTTGGCCTCTCCGGCGGTGGTGGGCAGTGGAGGCTCTGCGGCCACTCTGATACGCAGCCCAGGTCCACGGCGCTGACTTCAGAACCTGCCGTTGTTCCCTGCCCTCCTGGCAGTTTGCTCGGCTGCACATCTGATAACAGGACCAACACCCATTCAAGCAAAGGGACTCGGGAGAGGAGAGCAGAGCCTGGCCCCAGTCCAGCTGCCTGTCCCAGGGCACATGGCCACCGCTGTACCTGCAGTCAAGACCCAGGTCCCCCGAGACACCCAAGGCTCCGGGCAATGCTTGCACGGAGCGCTTACGGTGTGGCCCACAGCCTTGGGGAGCCCCCCGCCCCCCAGGTGGCTTCTGCTTCCTACACTGCACACTCTTCTCAGTTTCCTCCCTCTTTTAAAATTGTTTTCCTTGCCTTGGCTAGTGTGGCTCGGTGGATTGGGCATCATCCCACAGACAAAAAGGTCACCGGTTCGATTCCTGGTCAGGGCATGTGTCTAGGTTGTAGGCCTGGTCAGGGCATGTGTGAGAAGCAGCTGATTGACGTATGCCTCTCACATTGATGTCCCTCTCCCTCTTTTTTCCCTTTCTCTAAACATATAAATGAAATCTTAATAAAAATAAGTATATAAAATTGTTTCCTCTGAGTCATTGGCCATAGCAGTTCCTCTAGGCAGCAGGGGAGACACGCTGTCCTTGACCGGGGAGGAGGGCTCTCACTCATGGCCAACCCGTCCCACCCCCTCCATTACAGTCCTCTCTCCTCTCGCTTGGCAGGGGCCTCCTCCTCTGAGCTGGCCTCCCAGCCTGCAGTCTTCATGCAAGTCTCGGCCTAGCACAGATGGCGAGGCAGAGCCTTCCCCGTCTTGCTCCTCCTCTTCTGGGCCACCCGGTCCGGGACATCCATGCTCGCTGCACTGGGCAGGGGTGTGTATTCAGGTGCCAGGCACCCCCCCCCCCCCAACCATGCACGACTGAATCAGTGATGACGACTGCTTTCCTCTCCAGAGCCAGCACAGAGCTGTGTTTCAGTAGCGCCAGCAGGTCTGTGTTCCACTGACTAAGCTCTAGGCCAATGTGGTGCTGCCCTGGCCAGAGTGTGGGTTCATGGCCAGGGCCGGGGGGCAGAACTGCGACGAGGGGGCCCCTACCCCACCCCGACCCTTGTCATTACCACTGTTCGTTGAGCACTCACCTTGTGCCCTTCACTATGAGGTCCTTACTAGAGTTGCTCTTTTAGTCCTTATAACATCCGTCTCAGGAACAGTCGGAGCTCATTCACACTCAAGTTCAAAACACAGTAATAGTGTGACGTGACACCCATGGTCAGGAACAGAGGCTGGGCACTGAGACTGCCGTGTGGGGTGAGAGGCCTGGTGGCCAAGAGGGGACACTCTGGGGAAGGAGGTGACTTTCCCGGACCTGCAGAGCCCCCTGGGGATGATGGTGGGACATGCTGGGCCACCCTGAAGAACACCCTCCTCTCCTGGCTGAAGAACACCTGTGTGGTGGGGCCCTGGTGAGGTCTGCCCGGCCGAGGGTTCCATGGTGGCTTCAGACCACAGAATGACAGAGAAGTCTCCATCCTTCCTCAGTGCTGAGCCCTGTTTTGGGGCGGCACCTGCCAGCAGCAGCCCCGGCCAGGGTGAGTCAGGGCTGGAGCCTGTTTACACGATGCAATGTGCCCAGCACAGTCTCTGGACACTGGGGCACTCGAGACCTCACCAAGAACCAGCCACCAAGTGGTTCCATCACCGCCAGAGTTACTGTGACAAAGAGGCCACATCCTAGCAGTCTTTCCATGACCCCTCAAGGTGGGGGTGGAGTTAGGGAGAAGCCCTGGAGTCTCGGTCAGGGGCCTGACCCTCAGTCCTGCCGGGACAGTGACTCACCCTGTGTGCTTGATCAGTAACCCCCCAACCCCCCTGCCCCCCGTCTGAGCCTCAGTGTCCTCGCCTGTAAGATGAGAGGCTCTGCCGAGCACACACACCTGCCCCTAGTTCTGTGGTTCGCTGTTCCCCCCTCAGGTGAGGAGAAAACCGTGGCCGTGAGGACTAAGGAAGGCGGGGGGAAAGGCGTGTGATCCAAGTTCATGGCCAGAGACCCAAATCTATGCACATGGCTCAGGAAGCTAGGGCATTTAAAAATGTTCAATTCCTGGACACCCCTGAAGGGGGCAGCTGGCGTCAGAGACAGACCGAGTAGGTAGATGCATCGACGGATTTTATTCATGTTAACGCAGTGACCAAATTGTGCCTGGAGTTTAACAGGGCGTGAGAGTGAGCAGGACGTCTTCTCTCACGGTATCTTGGCTACAGAAGCTGTACCTGTGGAGAAAAATGAATCGTTTTTAAGTGTTAGACATCCTTACTTGGTGATTGGGGTTGGTACGCAAAGGAATTTGCAGATTTACAATTCACAAGCCATGGGGTTACAGGTTCAACCAATGACTGGGGAACTGACTGCCTCCGAAGCTGCCAGTGTGACAGGCAGCCGGGCCCTAGGACAGGCCAGCTGTTGCTCAGAAGTGGCCCTGGTCTCTGGGCCCCCAGTCCGTCCGGACAGGGGCAGTGATGGGGCCGCTCTTGCTCTCCGTCTCCCCAAGCACACGCTGGCCTTTCACAAACACTGGGGTACACACTGGCGCACAGAAGGACTGACTCTGGGCTCGGCTGCCCTGGGGACCTCGCTGCAATATACTGAGCTCTTCCTAGCTGCAGACACTGACAGTAACTGGTATTAGTGCAGTCTTACATTACAGGAGAGGGAACCGAGGCCCAGAGGACTCTCAGTTAGCAAGCAGAAGAACCCAGAAGCAAACATCTGATGCCACAGTCCGCATTTTCTATGGCCTTGCCTTCCAGAATTGCCCTTGTCCCCGGGCTCTCCCCTCCCAGCCTTCCAGCAGTGACACAAGGCTGGCTACTTGAGTCTCCGGGCTTGGTCTCCATGTACAGAAGTGGGCATTGCTCCCAGAGACCCCAGGTCAGTAACGAGACATCTCATGACCATAGATGCAAAATGACTTTGAAGGAGTGAAAATGACACAGACCTAAGTGGTTGTTATCACGGCTCTTCCAAGAACCATGACTTGTCTCAGGCCTCACTCACCGTCTTTGAGCCCTGAGGCCTTTGTCCAGTTTCCTTACCCCTCTCTGGCCTTCCACACTTTGTCCTTTGCATTTCATTTGTCTTTCCTGGGAGCTGCAACTGTCACCTCCTTAGCATTTCCCCGGTTCCCTGCATGACAGCAGGCTGGCCTTCCCCACCACTCACACAGCCCATCATCCCTGCTGGTGCCCTTCCAGGGAAATCCCTCAGCCCAAGACATGCCCCTGTGCCCTGCCTCCCTCGGCCACTGCCTGCCCTGGGCCCTCTGCTTCCTCCTCAGCCACTGTCTTTGGGATCCTCAGGGCAAGGTTTTCCACCTGTCATTTTACCTTCCACAGGAACCACAAATCTAGTTTTTACATGGTCAATTCCTTGTGAGCAAACACCGTCTTTGTACCCCCAACTCTTTGCCACTTAGGCACACAACAGGTGCTCAGTAAAGTCAGGGAGGAAGGACGAGAGGTGGGTAAAGGTGGGGAGAGCCATATTTCTCTTCGTACCACGTCGTAGAAGGGAATTCTAGCCAGCACGTTCCTTCGTAGGACGTGAAACCCCAAAGAAGTGACAAATGGTCTCAGGGGGGTCTGAGAAGAGGGCAGAGCATAATTTGATTTTCTTTAGCCTCTTAATGATGATGATGGTGACTTTTAAAATTGTTACTTACTGGCTGTTTTTATGACAGCAACATTATTTGAACAACTGGACGAATTCAGCTGTTTTACTCCCCAAACTGTGGCCATGAGGCAGGGAGGGCAGAGGGGCTGGCACTGCAGGTGGTCTCGCTGCAGGCAGCCCCTTGCAGCTGCAGCTGGGCACTGATGAGGCCGCGGGGAGCCCCGTGCAGGCTGGGGCTGAGGGGGGCTCGTGTCCGCTGCACCCCCACAGACAGTGCTGAGAACCCTCGGCAACGTGCTCCTAGAGGAACTGTTCTGTGCTCCCTTTTAGCTACTCATTGGCTGGGGGGAAAGGCCCCAGAGGAGTAGATTTGCTTGGCTTTTTGGCTGACCCATAACCTGACCCTCTGGGATGAGTTTTCCTTACAAACAGGAATCGCTGCGAACACCCTGAGGCACGGGCCCGCCAGATACGTACACTGTCTTCCCCTCTCCTGGCCGCACGGTGATCTGGGACGCGCCCACCTTGGGGAGCGTTGGGTTTACCACGTGGTTATTCCAAAGGAATTTGACTTTCTGAATTGTTCCAACATCCAGCTCTGCATCAAACTCATTGAAATGGGTGGAGCCTGGCTTGATAATCCCCCTTGAAACAGAAATAGGAACATTTTCATTCATAGAAACAAATTCCAAGGATTGTATAAGGCCGCACCACTCTTAGCTACTCTGAATTAATGAGATTACTTTTCCAAAGTAGTTCCCAAATAAAAAAATGGAGAAATAGAAAAGCCAGAAGTCAAACTGTTCTTTAAATATTAGTTACTCACTCTTAGGTTAATTTCTCTGTAAAACTTTCTTATAGAAAATTATGTAATTCCTTCATGTTATTCTTTCTGAAAGAATTATTTGTATAATAACATTATTCATCTGGTTTAACATAACAAACACATGTTACTATGCAAATTATATAACATGGTATCTAGGTAATAATTAGATTTATTTTTTTAAAAAATATGATCTATGAGTGAGAGAGAATGAAATACCTGGATTTATAAAAGAGAAAAGAAAAGTTGTTAGCAGAAGCCCGAAGTTAACTTCAGCGCACAAAGGGAAGAATTTAAAGTTCATCCATAGGTAAGGAAACAATGAGCCTTTAAATGCACGGATTGAAGGCCGTGCATTCCATCAAATGACATGTGGCACCAAAATGGGACATTTACCTGAAGATGTCAAACTGGTGAGTATTTCCCTTATTTCCAAACAAAGAAACTTTGACCTGACCAGTGACCGTTCTCCCAGACATCGTGACAGACACGCCGTATCGCCAGCCTGCACAGGAGGGGAAAACAGCTCGGTTCACTCAAAACAGTGTCTTCACTCCAGTGTAAGACAGTCTACAGGTCAGTCCATAACTCCAACCAGACCACGCGGGGAAACACGTACAGGGCAGTGTCTCCCTCCCGACCTGCACTGCCCAGCAAAAGGGCCACTTGCCGCACGTGGCTGCTCACGCTTAAATCCAAATTAGGTGAATCAAACTAAAAATTTAGTTCAGCAGCTTCACTAGCCCCATTTTGAGTGCTCAGTGGCCACACGGGGTTCATGACGACTGTAATGGACAGCACAGATGTTTCTAGCATTGCAGAAAGTTCTTCAGGAGAGTTCTGCTCTGGACTGATTGTACAATGGCTTAAGGTGAAAAGAGAAAGAACAGGGCCTCCCCTCACTTGGGGCTGTAGCTCAGGAATGTGGCCCGGTGACCCCTGAGGACAGGTTCTCTGTCTAATCTCTGCACCCCCAGGGCCTGAGCAGGGTCTGGCACAGAGTGAGGCCAGACCTCACTGAGTTGCCTCACAGATTTATACCTGGAGAGCTGTCTCAGTGCCCACACATACATACACATGAAGTCTGTGTACATGAGATCACACAGTAACATGCACATACACATATACACATATACATGTATGAACACACACATCACGCATTCTTTGTATAAACACACGTGTAAAACACACGCATCCTTTGCTTCATTCCCACTTGTCCTTCATGTCCTCAGAGAAGTCATCCCTGCTCCTCCCTCTGGCGGGGTCAGGCCCTCCGGCCCACAGAGCTGCCGTAGCCGCCTGCCAGGCCCAACACTCTGCTGCTGGCTCAGTGTCCGTCTCCTCCGCTGTGCTGCACAGTCCGTGCCCAGCACGCCTCGCTCCCCAGACCCCCGCTGTCCAACATCGTCTGTGGCTCACAAATAGATGTTGTCTGGGGAATGAGTATATAGCTTTTGAATGCTTAATTTGCCGATAGAATATAGGCAAGTACTTCATGCATCACTGCATCAGTGGAAGGACTAATTAACCAATGTCTCTAAAAACATTTTTATAATGATGAAAATGCTCCATATCTTCAATGTGGAGGTGGTCACTGGACCATTCATTTATCAAAACTCATGGAATTATCCACTAAAAAGGGTGAATTCTGCTATACAAAAATTATACCTCGATAAACCTGGCTTGACTACATAAAACATGTATTATATGTCTATACTTATACAATACAGTCTTTTTTATAGTGAAACATCTCAGGGAACCATCATGGGCAGGGTGGCACCAGGTGACCTAAACATGCCCTGTTTTTACCCTATGACCTCGTCCATCCAGCAGAGTTTTTAGAGAAATCACCCCTTCTTGGTTCCTGCCCACCGTCCACCAGAGGGGCAGCCGCTGAGCACCAGGCACGTGTGGATTGGGGGTGCTGAGGTGGGCAGGGAGATTGGAGTGGAGCTTCTTAAGGGGCCCAGCCCAGTGAAGAGCTGGTACCAAATAAATGTTTGTTGAATAAATAGAAGAACAGGTGCATGTGATACAATCTTAGGGGCAAAGGGGGTCAAATACGTGGTGATGGCAGAAGGTCTGACGGTGGGTGGTTTGCACCTAGTGCAACATACAGGTCATGCATCGTAAAATCACACAGTTGTACACTTGAAACCTCTATAATCTTACCAGCCAATGCCACCCCAATAATTTTATTTAAAAAGTGAAAATAGAAAGGGGACCATGGACTATGGAGCAGTAAAAATCCAGGGTAGCTGGCCCCGGAGACAGGCAAACTGCTGTTATCACATTAGCTATTTGCTTCTACTCATTTCATGCCATAGAAATACAAGGAAAGGAATGCAGACTCTTTCTAAATCCCCTGCTGAGCCCTAAATAGGACAGTTTGGGATGGGGGGGGGTGTCTTTCTCTAAGATGATAAAAACATGCCCACAAATATTTCAGGCCAGAGACAAGCCCTTCATTTCCAACAGAAATGAAACTTTCTTTACCCGGAAGGGGAAGTCTAAGTGCAACTTACGTGCAAAATCGCTGGAGTCGCCTGTGTTCAGGAAAAATTTCTGCTGCTTTTCACTCGTCTTGCCAGCGAATTTGTCGGCATAGTGGCCCATCTGTGGGCATCCTTCGTCCGGACAGGGGAAGCACTTGTTCTAATGAGCAGAGATAGAGCAGGCCGGGAGGAGCAAATTTGTCTTTTTAAGATCCATACAACAGGGGAGCAATTTTCCTACAGTCTGAGCTTCCTCGTTGGTAACCGACGTCTCACTTACCTTCCCGAGCCTGATGTGCATCACATTGTAATTGCTTGGGGAGCTTTAGAAAACCTGGATGCCCATATTGAGAAAATACTGAGCCCTAGATTTGATACAATTATACCTTGTATCAAATGATGTGTTGGTGAATGATTAACAGCCAACTCTGGGACTAAAAAAGTCCCTGATTGTGGTGTTTGCCAATTTCCACGGCGTTAACACTCTGACTGTGGCCATTTTCAGGCTGCCAACCTGCTGTCACAGAACGTGGAGTTGAGAGGCTCCCACTGGCTCTCACTGTCAGAACAGGCAGGCTCCAGACCGCCATTCTCTCCATCTCTCCCCCCTTGTCGCCGGCTGCACAGGCACAAAGTCCAGCCTGGCATGTGAAGCCCAGCAGCCGCCTTTCCTCCTGTTGGTGTCTGAGTTCATCTCTCATACGTCCTCCTATTCTTGCTTCGCCCTGGCCAGACACGTGCACTCCTTCTCTTCCTTCAAAACCTAATGATTTTACAAGCCAGATTCAAATGTTGCCTCCTACAGGAAGCCTTACTAGATTGTTGTATTAACTGCCCTTTTCTCTGTTTTTCCAGAGTCTTCCTCATCCTCATGATTCATGTAGAATTCTAGCCGCTGCCTACCTAAAGTTTGGTTTCCCTCCCCTCTCCAGGACCACGAAACTCTGAGGGGCCATCTAAAACAAGCAGGGGCTGGCAGATAAAGGTGAGCGGGTACTGCAGATCCCAGACACAGCTGGACAGCAGTGCTGCAGCGGGGCTCACTCAGAGTGTGACCATAGCTTACAGACTCAAAGTTCTTGTAGGTAGCGCAGGGGTATGCAGTGAACCCGTTGGGGTGGAGGATGCTGTCTGAGTAATACTTGTAGCTTCTCAGGTGATTGCAAGCCACAAAGTCCCTGGTTCCTGGGGAAACAAGTGAAGAAGTTGATACAGGTGGTCAGGGAGCTGTGATGACTTCTTGCCTCTTCAAATGGGATGGATGCAAAGTGGATGGATGCTAACCACCTCAAAGTACATTTTCAGAGATTTAAGGTAAGTCTGAAATCCAGCTGCATCAGCATAGGTAACATACAGTACAGCCAACATTCTGAGAGCTTGACATCTATGGTCCATCACAAAGTACTTACCAAAGTATATTCCACGCCATCCCTAATAACAGAAAGATATAGACTACAGACTCGGATGTCAGATGACAGCTAGAAAATGGCAAAGCTGGGAAGTAAAGCCAACCCATCTTGTTCGTGAATCCCTGCCTCTACCCTCCACCAGCCGGTGTTCCAGGCACCAACCTGCAGGTCCTTGAAGAGACAACCAGATCTGACACTGACCTCGCAGACATGATAAAACCAGGGTGACAACACTTTCATGCAAATAAAAAGGAAGGTTGAGCATTTTGGGTGGCTTTATGTGAGTATCACTCTCAGTGCTTCTCACTCCTTATCAGCTTCCTTGGCTTTCGTAACTCCCGCCAAGTAACATTCAGACCTTCCAGGCCTGGGCTGACCTTGGCTGGCCACTACTGATGCAGAGTTTTGGCCACCCTGTCCATGCGAACCCTCATACGGCTATAAAAGACAACCCTACAAGTCTTGTCCTTAACATTTGCTTCAATAGCATCCACACTTACCAAGTCATTTTGACTGAATCCAGTAAAAATCTCTACTTGGAAGATTTGGTCACTAAGGGTTTTGACCTGTGTGGTGGTAAATGGTGAGTCTGGCCAGAGACATTCACCTGTCCATTGTACTCGCGACATCATTCAACACAGAGTCAGAGCTGTGTCCAAAGAGTGCCCTTTACTCCGGTGCACTTGATCAAGGGTAAAGACTAACCACCTTGAAGAGCACAGTCTTCGCTCTAACCTCCCTTAAGTGTGATTGTTCTCATTCACACTGGTGCTGATGCTTTGCCATGGAAATGCCGGGAATGTTCTTATTTTGGCTACTGAAATGAAGCCAGTCGCACAAGCTCGAAGCATATCACTGACTCCCATGGGAGAAACTGGTAGACACCTCCTGTTAGAGCCGGGATGTTTACTTTCATGATTTTTCTATACTTTGCTATGTGTAACTACCCATTTATCATTGGAGCCATAGCTTTGAGCAACGGCTTGGTAATTCTTTGTTGCTTGTACACTCCAGACACCACAACAATGTTGTGAGGAAGTACACAATCGGGGGAGCTCAGATATAACAAATGATGCATAGCTATAGTTTTCAGAACTGGGTCTGGGAGGGGGGACTGCATATTTTTAAGGAGTAGGTTGTTTTTATTTTTTACGGTTTGTTTCACTCTAGCTTTACCTGACCAGATGCTGTCTAGGTCCACAATCTGTGACAAGGCGTTCTTCTTGCACCCCGGCATCTCTTCCCTTCCATTGGGGAAGAAGTCAAGGTGACCCATCAGCTGGTTCGATCCAAAACCTGAAATGTTTGGAAAGCCATGAGCGTTTGATAGCACCAGGCAATCCTGGGCAAAACCCCACTGCATGTGCTCAGGGCTGGAGCATCGTTGGCCTCACCCAGGGAGGGGATCAGAGGAGCCTCATCCGTGTGAATCACGTCCACAAAGGTGGCATCGGAGGGATCAAGGCGAACCTCTTCGGAAGTACCCTGGAAACTTGCTTCCACGGGATCCAACCCTAAAAGACAGGGGCAGTGCTGCAAACGGCAGGCCTGGCTGAGGGTGCCCGCGGGACCAAGGTGCACAGCTGCTCGGGCTGTGCTCTAACTGAAGAGCTGCCACAACCCGGAGGCGTCAGCGCCAGGCCCTGGGTGGTGAGCATGGGAACGCAGTCTCAATGTTGCTCGTTACGGGAGGGCTCTGGTGGCCTGGTAGGGAAGGGCAGATGAACAAAGAAATTTAGATGGTTTTGGAGCAAGGACTTAATTTTCTACATCAGATGCTCCCGTTTACGTATGTATCTTTCTTCTTCAACATTCTTTTCACTTCCCAAATTTGAAGAAGAAAGGAACAAAGCAGTATGGTACCATAGGTAAGAATAAGATTCCAGGACTGGGTTGCATGGCCCCAGATTCCTACTCAGCTCCTTCTTGGGCAAGTTGCATGATCTTGGGTGAATCATTTGATCTTTACTGTGCCTCTGTTTCTCCATCTCTGAAATGGGGTTAATAATGGCATCTATTTTATATGGCTGTTATATGATAAATGAGTTCATACATGTAGCGTTTAGCATGGTGCCTGGAACATCACCATGAGTAGATAAGTAAAATTATTATTATGTCCCCCTGACTACATGTCCTTCTTTGAGGGGCTCCTGGATTTGTCAACAGTTTTTGGAAGTTTTGGTCAGAGCAACCAAAAAGTCATGAACATCACTGTCCCCTGATTATAAAAGGGAGAGTTCTTCTACAAGTAGAGACTTATTTGAGACAAATGGCAACAAAGCTGGGTTGGAATCCCAGTTCCACCACTAGTCAGCAATGTGACCTTGGACAAGCTACTCAATTCCTTGAGCCTGTTTCTTTGGTTCTGAGGATTAAATGAGAAAATGTAATGCACTTTGTACAGTATTTGGGATAATTGGGCTCTTAAATTATGCTTACGATAGCAATTATATTAGCATTATATCATAAAGGTGTATTTTGTGGCTATTGTTACAATGCGAAGGCCTTGCTTGAGCTAACAGGATGCTTCTGGCCATGACCCTGGCTAGGTTTCTTCTACCAGCAGAGGCAACAGAAGGGTACTTTCCCCTGCCCTTGACTTCAAAGAGCAGGGGAAAGAGGAATGACAATGTGGATCCTTCTTAACTGTGTTTGCTCATGTTCATACGAGCCTTACTTGGCATTTCCCCGGGTGCCCAGTTCTGCTGAGCAACCCACACTGCCAGGATACCTGCGTCTTGAGAGAAGAGGCAGGGACAGAGGCGGGAGAAGCAAAGTGAAACTGAGGGATGAAGCTGTCACCCCTCTGCCACACAGATAGGTTGCTTGGGGGCTTTCTGAACTGTTCTCTGCTGACTCTTACTACTCCAAGGCCAAGGGGTCAGTCTCCTTTGGGCCAGTTCTGAGCTGGGCTGGAGCCTTGTACCATTTTGTGGGGTTGCTGGAGACAAACCCTGGGACCCTGCCCCTTGGGCCTTACCTGTGATCCTGCCCAGGCCTGCTCCCTGCCTCTCCAGCCACGTGGGCTCCCAGGCTGTGGCCGATGAGGTGAACTTGGGAAGGTGAGTAGCTGTAGTTTGTCTGGAGGGGAAGATGGCATTTTTAGGACATTTCTGTGCTGGGCAAGCCTGATACTGTCCCTCCACTGCTGAGACTTCCTATGGCTCCCACTCCCCCTGGGATCAAGGCCAAACTCACTACCAGGTCCTCAGAGCTTTCCTGACTCGACACGTATTTTTCTAGACTCTTCTCTAGCAAGCGCTCTGTGGACCTTGTAGGCACTTAAATATGTCATAATTTTTTGATCTCTGGGCCTGGTTTGGAATGCTCTTCCTATAGTTGTTCATCTCAGCGACTACTTGCTCAGCTCACATCCACACAGCTCACATCAGCCCCACCCCAACCCCATCTAAATCAGCCCCACCCACCCCCATGCTTCCATAAAGCCCTGTACTTCCGCCATCAAAATCCTGACCATGCTCTATTGTCAAGTCTTCACTGTAAGCACCTCCATGTCCTGGGACCTCGTCCATCCCTTTTACCACCTAGCACAGCTTCTGACACTGCACCCCCAAATATTGGGTGAACAAACAGATAACAGAATTAGGAGATGTTTGCTCGTATTGGTCTCACTGCTGTTCACCCAGATGTACTGGTTATTGGTCTGCAGTGTCTGTAGTGCAAACGCCTGGGGTTTGGGTTCTGCAGGGCTGCAGCAGCGGTTAGAGCCAATCAGTTCTTTTATAGACCCTCGAGACTTCAGGCAGGAATGCCTGGGGACTTTACCTGGTAGGGAAATGAGTCACCAGAAATTAGTGACTTAACTGAAAGAATGAAAGACCTAAAGAATCAGTGAAAAAGGAAGACCAAGGCAGGAGGAATCAGCTGACTTAATTGGTCCAAAAGAGATTCCCCAAGATCAATGGGACCCACTACAGCAGTTGATCTGGCACATGCTGGCACATGCCCACTGTGCGCCCCGCCCTTTGGCTCCGTTGGCTCTCCCTGGAGACGCTGCGTTTTTGCCCAAAGACAGTCTACCTGGTATAGTGGGGACCCCCGGAACTAGATGTTCTGGGAGCCAAAGACAAGTCATGTTCACCTGCTGTATGATTTTTGGGGGGCAAGCTAGTAAAGCTTCCTGGGCTTTAGTTTTCTTCCCTCTCAATTGAAGGCGATAATAAAACTCCCCACCTTCTAAGTGTTAGCGCTTATTGTTTACTTCCTCGGGTGTGAAATTCAGAGTTTTAGAAATAAGACCCTAGGAGAAATATCAGTTTTTCCTAGCTCTTCTTCAAGTATATAATCCAGAGGCATCCTACCCAGCCAAGACCTGGGGGCCCTGCCTGCCCACGTGGCAGCCCCCCCCACCCTCTCGGCAGCCCGGCCACCCAGCCGTCCACTCACCGAGAGCACGTGGATCATCTGGGCCACCTGGGCGCCCACTACGCGCACGTTGCTGGCGGCCTGCGTGTAGGTGGTTTGGGAGCCTTTCTTCCAGTCCACGCAGATGCAGTTCACCTCCTCCACCTTGAACATGTTCTGGTGTTGGAAAGACATTGGCTGTTATCACGGGGGCACACAGAACCACATCCAGCCAGGGCTCAGGTTGCTGACAGTTACTCTTGGCCATGCTCCTGTCCTGTCCTTGCTGGGGTGCTGAGAGCCACCAGAGTTTAATGATTCCTGCTGTCAGGTAGGAGTCACCCCGCAGGGTGAAGGCAGATTCCCTCTGTGGCTTGTATGCGAACTAACAGCTGGCCACCATCTGGTTTTCTCCGGCCAAATTCAACAAGGTTGATGAGGTGGGGGAAACAATCGCATCCTTGGGGGGGGGGGAGCCACGTTTTGAAAAGGAAAAGCCTTGAGTGCAATCTCCGAGGGCCAGTGTCTAAAGGACTTTGTGGATTTCACTGCCAGGGGTCCTTTCGGCCACTTAGCAACGCTGCTGCCAATTACTGCGCTTGCTCTGAGCCCAGCCCACTGGGCAGTGACGAAGTTTGAAGGTAGAGGGAAGCATTACTGTTTTTAGAGTCAGAAAAGCATCCAGTTTTGTGGAGAAAACATGCCCTGCAGGTATTTGAAGAATAAAACTGCACTGGTTTAAAAGAGATTGAAGAATTCTGCAAGGAAAACTTCTTCCTGAGTGTTAAAGGGACTGATATATCCTTAGAAGCCCCTCTGGGTGTTTCTGCGTGGCTAGCTTGAATTTGAAATGGCACTACAAGTGTAAAATCCGCTCTGAGTCTTTCCACCTGTACGCCAATATGTGTGACCACACTCACGAAGATTCCAAGAGGCAGTTCCTCAGGACTGTTACGTTTAAAGCAACCATGAGGAATCTCTTACAACCTGGAAAATGTGGACACAAACGATATCTCACAGTTTATACATTAAAGTGCTTATTACTGGTGAGACGGGTACCAGGAATTACATGCTGGTAAACCAAGGCCAAGTGCAGAACAACTTTGATTTTCTGGGTTTATAACTTTTCCTGTCACCATTATAAGTCAGAGTTATTAATGTGTGTGCTGGGGTGAATTCTTGGGTGTCAAAAAAAAAAAAGACTAAACCAGTGTACGTGTGAAAAGAAAGAATAATGGTATATTCTCTGTGTACTTGTGTGTACCTGTGCAGATCCCTGCACCTGTGTCTTATTGACATGTACATGTGTGTGAACATGTATGGGTTCCTCTGTTGCCTATTCTTCTGACCAACAGGTGACATGTTACCTACAATTCTGTCACTTTCTATGCTGCCTTGTAAGTGACCTGGTCGCTCTTAGCTCTCCATGCTCACGCCAGTGGTCACCACCGTACATCTCTGACTCTCAGGGATGAGGGAAATATTGGGAAAAAAAGAACCCAATTCCCCCTTTCCAGGAATCCCAAGCCCCCTCACTGAAAATGGGGGCAGACAATATCGAGCCTTGATTTAACCAGCGTGAGGAGGCGTTTTTCACATAACAAACATCACCTTTTCAGGCTACAGGTGCAGTCCAGGAACGTGGAAAGGAATTTTTACTTTCTTCAAAGAGAAGCACTTAATTGCTTTTTGAGCTCATTTACTGCAATTGCTTAAAGGGAGCCAGGGATGTTACAGGACACAGTGGCAGCAGGGACAGTCCCCAGGCAGGCCACGGGGACCAGGGCAGCTCCTACCTTGCACATGTCCCGCAGCCAGTTCTCATCGCCCTTGTCTATGAAGCCGTGGATGATGAAGCGTGTCTTCCTGTCCGTTTGAAAATATGATGCCTCAACCGTCGATGGATCAGAGAGAAGGAGATTCTGTGGCAAGTGCAGAGGGATTACAGATTTTCACAGTCTCACCACTCAGAGATGTTCCATTACCTCTCTCTTTCCTTTTTCTAGTTCTCCCAATGCAAAAAAAAAAAAAGCCTCCTCTTCCATGAAGCTTGCCCTGACTTCCCCTTTCCTCCCTCTTTTCAAGTCATGGCTCACTGCCTCCACGGAGTTTTATACCTTTCCTAGGGTTCTTTGGAAGGCCTCTGGCCCCAAACCAGAATCTCATAACCAGCTAAAGGTCCTGGCAAATATGAGACACTCATTCATTGAAGCCACCTTTTTACTGAAGGCCACTCTGTCCAGGCCTTGGGGTGCAGCAGGAGGAGTGGGGTGCACTGAGTATGAAGGAGAAGGTGGTACGGAGAAAAGAAACTCCTGGCCTGCAGGGCGGGCACAGCCCCTCACCCAGTGCCAGGGATGCTAACATGACCGAGGTCCCACCTGAGAAGTGCTTGGGTTCTCATTGGTGTACAGCAGGAAGCGGGTACCGATCTTCTCGGGGCTCTAGGGCAGGACTTTCAGGGGCCTGATTGCAGTTCCTCCCCAGGGCTCAGAGTCCGAAAAGCAGCCGAGCTGACCATAGCAAATTTCTTTTCCTGCGGAGAAAGGATGGCTTGCTCAAGGATTAACGCTTGAGCTGGAATGTGGGGAGTCGCCATTGCTCAGGCCTGGTCACTCCCCCTCCCGGGGACAGTCTGCGGACTGTGAAGACACCCACCTCTGCCCCACCCATGTTTTCTTGCCCCCAAGTGCCAACCTTTGGGCCTGGAACCAGTCCCACTGGGTTCTGTAGAGATACAACCCTCTAAGCTTCAGAGGCCTGTGTCTCGTCCCAGCTCTTCTGGTATATATTTTTTGACCAATGTGAAAATGGGCATTGATAAGTCATTGTTAACTCAGGCTGGTGTTTAATGCTTTACCTAGAAAAGTGTGGCCCAGGGTGCCCCGGGCATGAAAGCAGGATGCGGGGGAGAGGCTGGGAAGCAGGGCCCCCTCAAACTACCCGTGGTCCCAGGCAGAGTGTCCACCCCACCCGCCTCTTTCCAGTGGGGAACGATTTATCCCAAGGTGCTAGCAGCCCGGTCACGTTCAAGGCTTTCTGTGGCAGCACTGAGAGGTCAGGTTCCAGTTCCTCCGAGGGACACGCGTGCTCTTTCTCACCTTGGACAGCTCCCAGCAGGAAGATTGCGATGGTCCAGATGCTCACCATTACAACAGATTCAGACATTTTCAGTCTCAGCAGGCGTTACCAGAGCAAAGAGCAGGCTCAGGGGAATCCAAGGCTCTTCACCTGGCCTCTCCTCCCCAGCTGGCAGAAGATTGGCACCGGTGACTTACCTCGTGGGTTGCTCCAGGCCCACTCTCCCCCTTTGCACCCAGGGCCCAGGCTTCGATTTATACTCCAGCTTTATCATTTGGACACTGCTTCAAGAAAACAGCAGGTGAAGATAAAACACACGGTGTGCACTTAATGTTTTAATCTGCACAAATACACAAAACAAGATTAATAATTCATCTTTCCAGGATCCTGGGAAGAAGCAAGGATATTGATTAAAAGGGGGTAAAAAGCCCCAGACTTGTCCCTTCATACCTGTGCCTGTAACTGTGAGCCAAGTGGGCCCCCCTTTCCAATTTTTTTATTTCATCACCAAATTCCATTCAGGTCCTAGCAGCAAACTGTAATCGTAGAAGGTAGTGTTTCCCACTTAGAATTGACGGAGATGCCCCCATGTACAGGAAACTAAAGGGAAGTGTCTGATTAAGGAAAACTGCCCCTCTCAGCCTCTGGCTCTGGCTCTGGTCCTGGCAGTCTATTAATACCCAAGGACATGAACTTTGGAAACAGATTCCACGGCCCCTTCAGTAGCCTCTGACCACAATCCCCTATTAACCACCTGTCCCAGGTATCCACTGCTTTGTAATGAACCGACTCAAAGCTTAATGGTTTAAGTATTCTATTATCCCACTATAATTTTAAATAGCTGGGTTCAGGAGCCTCTAAAAGCCCATGCCGCCAGACAGAGTCACATCTGGTGAGTTTTCCCAGGTTGTCTGAAGGTTGCACACCTGTCCTGTGAGATTCGGCCCCTGTGAAGTCGTGAAATACCCACAGACATGCATCTGTGAGCAGCCCGGCCAGTTCACACAACAGGCAGATAAGCCCTCAGTGGCTTATACCGTGGGTGCCCTATACCACCTCAAAGTTAAATAGGCCTTGCTGTCAAAATTCACACTCCTCCAGAGCAGTCAAAACACTGGGGGACAGTTGGGAGGGTGCCCTGGCAGGAAAACAGAAAGGGCTTCCCCCAGAGTAACAAAGAATAGTCACCAACAGTTATTAAGATGCAGAGTGTGCAGTTGAGCATTTTGCATGTATTACCTAATTTATGTCTCACAACAACCCCATGAAGGAGGTACCATTATTTTCTTCCCTCTGCATATGTGGAAGTTGAGGCCCAGAGAGATAAAGATATTGTCTCCAAAGTCACGTAGATAGTGAGTGATAAGTTGGCATTTGAATCAAGTCTGCCGAGTGAAACAAGGAGTTGTTGAATACTCAGTTTTCTGAGCACGTTATCAATTAGATTTGTTGATATTCTGGAGCCACACAGAATATTATTTACATATAATAAGTTGAAAAAGAAAATAAAGTTCTTGCTAAACTTCCAGACTTGAGCCACCTGATTTGACCTAAGTGATGAACTAGCTAAGCTGGGAGGTCTGCCCAGGTGTAAGGAGCCGCTGGAGTACATCCCACAGACTGGTGACCTTGAAGGCCTCAGCTTTTCCTCTGGCATTGCAGTGCTGACCCTGGAGGAGCCTCATGACAACCCGACAGTGAGTAACTAGGGAAATGTGTCTCTGGGACAGGGCAGGTGGCCCTGACACCTTGCGGGCCTCTTTCCTCCCTGCTTTTCATTTTGTCCTCCACACACGGCCACGCTGGCCTCCATCCAGCACACCCAGTCTTTTCCCACTGGGGCCTCTGTGCTTCACTCTTCTCATGTCCTGAAACTCTCTCCCCTGGACCTGCATCGGGCTGGCTCCTTCTTATCACTCAACAATTAGCTTTAATGCCATTGCTTCAGTGGGGCCACCTCTGGCCACCCCTGAAATCTCTCCGCTGCCAGCCTCCCGCTCAACTCCAGGCCCTGCAGTACCCCACACCTTGCTTGTTTTTTCAGCTCTCTTGCAACGGGTTATAATTATCTGTCTTATGTGCCTGTTTATGTGTTGTAATGCTTCTCCCGCCTAGAATGCAATTCCATGAGGACAGAGACTGCGTCTGTTTTGGCCATGGTGGTGTCTCAGCTGCTGGAACTGTGCCTGGCACTGACGTGGTTATGAATTAATGAAGGAACAGATGCACCATGAATGGAGTTCATGGGCATTTGACCCTTATTCTCAGTGAATTTCAGGGTGGAGAAAGGTGGGAGGGCACAGTTTCGGTTTAGGAGAAATAACGATGCATGGCCTGCACAGTTTGCCCGTGGGTAAGGCCCCTGTGCCTGCTTCATTTTCAGCTCACTTCACTGTCAAGTTCATCTGTGGGCTCCATGCCCACCGGGAGGGAAATTCCCCACCTGGGGTGTCAGAGGCAGAAGACACCTAAAGGTGACCAGAGCTGTTGTGTCCTCCACTGACAAACATTTGGTTTCAACATTTTACTATCGAAAACAACGCCTCAGTGAATATTCTTATACATGGGTCCCTTTACACATGTGTGGTGTGTCTGTGGGACAAATCCCTGAAGCTGAGTTTCACAGACAAGAGCTCTGTACCTTTAACGTGTTTCTGTGCCTGAGGCTGTTTTCCTCATTCCCTGACACAATAGGCAAGTACAGACATTCGCTCTCAACAGGTAAGTTTTTGGAGAAATGTTATGGTTCTATTGGTTGTAAGCAACAGAAAATACTTCTGGTTAATTAGCTACATTTTTAAAAAGCAAAGATTTATTGAAAGAATATTGGGGCATCTCATGGAATCTATGAAATTGTTGAACCACGAGACCCGGGGAAGCCCAAGAAATGGGACCACCCTGGAGACTGCAGTCATCCTCAGATGCCTTCTGCCTTGGACCTGATTCTGCTGCAGGGACCCCTGGCTGTGTGCATCTCAGCTCAGAATTTTTAATTACCAGGTGATTGGCCTGGTTAGGTTGGGCGCTGACCCTTTATTAGTAGCAATGGGGAGTGGCTCCTCTTGGGCAGACTAGCCTGAGGGGACCCACCCCTCTGCCTCCAAACATGGAGCCTAAGTTGTGGGCTGGGCGACCACTGCAAGAGGTATGCGGCTCTATGGTAAGAAAACAGCACTTCCAAGTCGGCCAGCTCTGCTTAATTCATACTGAAGTGCAGAGTTGGTGGCTCAGTGCTGGTGGGGAACGCATTTCTTTAAAAGCATCATTTGTATCACACTTTGAAATAAGAGGTGATTTGCATGATTTATCAAGAATGAATGATATTGAGGATATCATGCTAAGCGAAATAAGTCAGATGGAAAAAGTCAAGAACCATATGATTTCACTTATATGTGGGATATAAAACTGCAAGCAATAAATGAACAAACAAGATAAACAAAAAGTTGTAGACACAAACAACAGTATGGCGGCTACCAGAGGGAAAGGGGGGTGGGGGGGAGGTAGAACAGGGTAAAGGAGGCCAAATACATGGCTACAGAAGGAGACTTGACTTTGGGTGGTGAACACAAAATGCACTATGCAGATGAGGTGCTATAGTAATCTACACTTGCAATCTATGTAATTTTATTAACCAATGTCACCCTAATAAATTTAATACATTTTCTTCTATTAATAAAAGAGTGAATGATGACTGTGGAGACTGGATTTTCTGATCAGCATATCTGATCAGGACTGTTGTGTTGTTTTGTCTTTTAAGATTCTATTTATTTATTTTTAGAGAGTGGGGAAGGGAAGGAGAAAAAGAGGGAGAGAAACATCAGTGTGTGGTTGCCCCTCATGTGTTCCTTACCAGGGACCTGGCTTGCAACCCAGGCATGTGCCCTGACTGGGAATCAGACAGGTGACCCTTGGTTCACAGGCCTGTGCTCAATCCACTGAGCCACACCAGCCAGGGCTGTTGTGTTGTGTTAAGACAAGAAGAAGCAACCCTTCATTCACTGGCATTAACTGTTTGACAAGAAACACACTGTCATGGAGAAAGTCAGGAGTGAGTGAACGAAGAAGGTATCCTCACTGCTGATGGGAACAGTGAGGAAAAGGCAGTAGCAGGCCAAAGACTGGAGCCTGACCTGACCCGTCCCTGTGAAAACCCTTCCGACACCTGAGCTGTTTCTTCCTCAGTCCCAGGCTTTCCTAGGAGGAAGAAACAGGCTAGAGATGGTGATGGAGAAATTGGGAAAGTGGTCACAGTTCTTCACACTCCCACCAGACATCTGTGCTCTCTGCAATGGGATCTTGCAGCTCCTTTCATCGACAATTGAAGCCTATTTCCCCATCCTTTTGGGTGGATGTGTGACTCAATTTGGTCATTAACTACATTAGGAGTAACCACTTGGACCAGCTCAAAGCCAGTTGACCCCCAAGTATGTGGGACACCACTGCTGAGACCACGTGCCCTGACCACAGACACATGAGTGAACCCAGCCGAGAGCAGAAGCACCCAACTGACCCAGAGATTACTAAAATGTGCTTTCTGTTTAATGCCACTGCGTTTGGTGATGGTTTGTCCTGCAGTGGTAACTAACTAATACAGAAGAGCTCAGCCAGCCCTGGGTTTCAGAAAGAGCAGTTGGCATTGCGCTCACTGCCACCATTCTTGGGCACACCACATCTGTTAAGCATGTCTTCTTTCCTAACACCCACGTTTTGCCAATATGCACTATACTTTACTACACTGGCTCCTGTTAAGTGCCCTGGGGGATACAACTAGACTAAGCCCCTAGCAAGACTGGGCTCTAAACTGTATCTCCTTTAGAGCCTCCTAGACCGATGAATCCATTTCACTCCAGATGGAAAGATTTCTAGATGAGGCTTTCAAACAATAACAATGAAAATATGCTGAATGAACTTGTATCTTGCTCAGCTTCAGAAACTTAAGGCAGGATTCATTTTCATACAAATCCGTGGATCTCTTTTGAAACTATGATTTCATTTTCACCAGACAGCTCTCCTGTCTTCAAAATGTATAACTCTTTGAAGGTCACAAAGATAAAGCTGAGGTCTCTAGCTATTATCCACCCTATCTGCACAACCAGATGGAGCAGAATCACTGCTTTCCTCCAGCCAATCAGCTCTGTCTGTGTTTCCTCCTTCAATTTCAAGTTCAGAATGTTCAGATAGCTTGCCATTTAAAAAAAAGATTTTGTTTGTTTATTTTTAGAGAGAGGGGTAGGGAGCAAGAAAAAGAGGAATAGAAACATCAATGTGTGGTTGTCTCTCGTGTGTCCCCCCATCAGTGATCTGGCCCACAACCCAGGCATATGTCCTGACTGGGAATCAAACAGTGACCCTTTGGTTTGCAGGCTCATGCTCAATCCACTGGGCTACACCAGCCAAGGAAGATAGAGAAACATCTTATAAATTCAGGGGGAAGAGTAGAGTTGGTTCAGGCTAGGTTCTCAGAGTCCCTGAATTCCAAAGAAGTGTTTGTTCTGAGAAAGCTGTTTTCTGAACCCTTCCCACAGCCTAGGCACTCATCTGCATTCCATTGAACCGGGCACATACAACATGCAAACTCCTTAAGGAATTTACACATGGGATATACAGGCAAGTAAGCAAGGAACTATGATATTGAGAGAGAAGCACTGAGGGGGAGGAGGTCCTGGATACAGTGGGAATGTAGTGGGGTGGCCTCTGTTCCAGTCTTAGGGGGTGTGGGCAACAGAGGTGAAGAACGTCTCCCTGGAAGAAGCGATGTCTACACAGACAGGAAGTTAATCAGTAGGAGTTAAATAGATAGGAAGACAGGGGAAGAAACATACTTGGGAAAGGAAGAGTTTGCACAAAGGTCCCGTGGCATCTGGGGTCAAGGCCCTTTTAGGAGGTGGTGCCAGAATGGAGACTTGCAGAAGAGATGCGGTGAGAGGTATGGGTGGAGTCCTAGTGAAAACTGGCCCAAGAGGGCCCTCCCAAGGCTCCCCGAGGAATGTGGGTTCCATCATGGCAACCTTTGTGAGGATCTTTGATTTGTGTGTTAGAAAAATCTATGAGGCTGCAGAGAGGAGGGGGGTGCGACGGAGCCCCACTGGGGGCAGTTAGAAAGCATCAGAAATGCCCTGTCCTCACCTCCTTATTTATGTCTCATCTCTCCTGAGTAGGAGCAGGGAGAGGAACAGGTAGCAAAGGTGGGTACTTCCCACGTGTGCCCACCAAGAAAGGGTTGTTTTGGACCTGGACATCGGCCTTAAGTAGTCAGACTGACATCAGTGATAGTAGTCATGGACATGCTGCCAGCCAGCATCAAATAAACGATATCCCTAAGCTCAATGCCGCATAATATGTAGCAAAATTCAAGTCATCTGCGGTTCTTCAGATTCAGCCCAAATTTTGGATTTTAGTCACTGCATACAAAGGCTTCATTGGAAAAATGGACTAATGATGACAAAGAAAGAAATGTTTTTGCTTCACCAATAGGTTTTATTAGCAATCGGATCCAGGGGTCACATGTGAGCAGGCTCCTAACACGGGCTGAGGGTGAGCAGCACATTCTTCCTCACAGTTGACTGGCTGCAGAAGTTGTACCTGCGGAGAGAAGACAACGAACGGCAAGTCAGCTCCTGTGGCCGCCCAAGGCCAGGCTCTGCTCTCCCCTCCGTCTGAGCAGGAAGCGCACCCTGTGCCCCAGACCTTGCTTCCTCCGGCCAGACTAGGCTCTGCCTGCCAATGCTGGTTCACGGCCATGGAGATGGTAGAGAGAGAAGGTGTCAGTGGGAACCTCAAGGGACAGGGAAGACTCCTTTGTCACATTCTAAAAGCACCTGCTATACACTTGGCAATTTTTTAAATTTTCGCTGTTTAAATAAGGTGATGATGGTATTGCATTGTGGTTTGAATTTGAATTTCCTTAATCCCTAATATTATATCTTTTTCTCTCCTTTCACTTTTAATATATTTGTGTTTTTATATTTAAAGTACATCTCACATAAGCAGCATAGAATTAATTACTGATTTTTTTAAAGAATCCAATTTTAATCTCTTTCTTTTAATTGTTATAGTCAGACCATTTTTATTTAATACAATTATTAATATGGTTAGGTTTAAGCCTATTATCTTGCTATTTGTCATCTATATCCTTGTCTTTTTTTCCTCTTTTTATACCTTATTTTTTAAAGAATCATTTTATCTCCTTTGTGAGCTTATTAGCTAGAGTTTTTATTATATTATTTTAGTAGATGCTTTAGAATTTATACCATGTATTTTTAATTTATCGCATTTTACCTTCAAGTAATATATTAACTCACATTTGGTATAAAATCATTACGATGGGATATTTCCATTTCTCTCTCCTACCCTTTATGGTTCTGTTATCATAAAATCTACACATACATGTATTATAACTTTTCCAAACACTGCCATCATCTTAAATTAGTCAGTTATTTTTAAAGACTTAAGTAATAGTATTTAATGACCTCCTGTACTTTTTAAAAAGTCGATTAGTTCTTTTTGCAGATTATTTTCAACTAGTATAATTTCCCTTTCCCTGAAGATCTTTCTTTAACATTTCTCATTATGTAGACACCTGCTGGTGATAAATTCTTTCAGCTTTGGAATATATGAAAAGTCTTTATTTCATTTTCATTTTGAAATATATATTTTTGGTATAGAATTCTAAGTTAACAGTTTTTTTCTTTTAGTACTTTAAGAATGCTATTTCACTGTCTTCTCACTTGCATTATTTCTGATGAGAAATTTGGTGTAATTATTGTTCTTATTTCTCTGTATGTAATGTGTATTTTTTCTCTGGCTGCTTTCAAGATTTTCTCTTTATAACTAGCTTTGAGCAATTTGATTTTGATGTGTGTTGGTTAGTTTTCTTCTCTTTTCTCGTTATATCAGATTAGTTGGTTTATAGTTTTTGCCAAGTTTGAAAATTTTGGAGCCATTATTTCTTCAAACATATTTTGTTTCCTCCTTTAGGGTCTTCAATAAGAGCTATAATATACTTTTTGAAGTTATTTCAATGTTCATTGATGCTCTTCCCATTTTAAAAATCTTGTTCTCTGCATATCTATTTTGGATAGTTTCTATTATGCCTTCAAGTTTACAAATCTTTCTTCTGTAATGTCTAATCTGCTGTTAATTGTATCTAGTGTAGGGGGGGAGTAGGTTTACAGTTGTTTGTATAGAAAAATAATACAATGATTAATAAATAACATACAAGGATAAACTGTGTTTTACATACGACTGTAAACCTAGTTTTACCCCACCCTGTTTTTTTAATGTCAAATATTATAGTTCTAGAAATTCAACTTGGGTCTTCTTTCACATATGCCATACCTCTAACAACCTTCTGAACAAATGGAATACAAGTTTAATAACTGTTTTAATGTTTGTGTCTGCTATTATAATATTTGTATCAGTTCTGGTTTGGTTTCCAGTGATTGATTACTATCTTCATCAAAGGTTGTAGTGTCCTGATTTTTTTTGTATACCTGAGAAACTTATTTAATGTCATAATGTGTAGGTTTTAGCCTGTTTGCTGCTAGGTACTTCTGTATTTCTATAAATTTTCTTAAGCTCCATTTAAGCAATTCAGTTATTTGGAAACAATTTGAAAACTTCCAGGTCTTGGTCAATCTAGGCTAATTATTTCCTGCAGCTGGGGGAAGCTCTTCCTAAATATTCTATTCAATGTTTCTTGACTTGTGACCTTTTCCAGCTTGGTTAGTGGAAACAGGTTCTCGTTCATCTCTTAAGATTACTGGGCACTTTCAGATCGGTATTTCACTGGCCTTGGTTAGTTTCCTCACCCATCAGTGCTCTGCTAAATAGTCAAGGGAACTTTCTAGGTTTCTGAGATTCTCTCTGTAGCTCTTTTCTCTCTGGTACTCAGTCCTCTGAAATCTAGTTGCCTTGGGTTTTCTGGGTTCTTAGCTCTGTCTCCTTAACTCAGGGAGTCCACTGGACTCTCTGAAATCTCCCTCCTTGTGTGACATCTTGAAAACACTCTCCTGGCAGTGAGCTGGAACAACTTCAAGGCTCTACCTTATCTGTTTCTTGTTTTTCAGGGATCACTTTCCTTAGTTGCCTAATGTTCAGTGTCTAGAAACTGTTATTTTATGTACTTTTGGTTTGAATTTCAGTTTTTTTTTATTGGGACTGTAAGTTCAATCAGTGTTACTCCCTCTTTGCCAGAAGCAAAAGTCCCTTCTCGGGCCTTTATGGGGACAGAACGACTGAATGATGACAAAAGAAGCATAGATAGCACTATGCATCAGAATTTGGCTTTATATTCAGAACACCGGGCTCATATTGGTTCTGTTATAGTTCTCACAAGCAGCAGCACACTTTTTCTGGTGGTTCACCATGGCAAATATCTTTGGCTCACACACACTTTAGTCTTGGTTGGAACCAAAGTTTGACCTTTGTCTTCACTAAGAAAGCCAATGATCCAGAATAGTCTATTTGAACTTCCTGATAAGATGTTTTCCTCATAATTTTAGTGGCAATTTGGTGAACCCAGGACATTGAGAGAAGGTGCACATATTAAGTATGCACACAGCAAAAGACACAGCTGCTAAATGAAATCATTCTTTGCGCCTGAGATCATGAAACCAGAGTCCCAGTCTATCACCGCTTGTATTAGATAATGTAGCACTTATCTACATACAAATCTATCACAGAGGTGTTCCTAAAGTTCTGCATTTTCTCCTAAAGAGATAGAAGGTATGAGGACGTACCTGTGGGTGGGATGTGGGAGAACGTTGTAGGAGATTTTACCTAAAGGCAACTTTCAGTGGGGCTGGAACTATAAATGTGATTCAACATGTCAAATCTCTTTGGAGTTTCATTACTTACACTTTTCCATCGTTTCTTTCCACTGTGATCTGGGATGCTCCCACTTTGGGTAGAGTTGGGTTGATCATATTGTTATACCAAAGAAATTTAACCTCCTGCAAATCTCCAACATCCACATCTGAGTCAATGTCATTGGAATGAATACTGTCTGGTTTGAGAACGCCACTTGGGAGTTGAAAAGTTAATAAAAACACACATGAACATATGTATATATACATATAAATATATATGTTTCTAAAACCAGCTTACAATGCATCTTTAAGTCGATGATTAGTAGTACATTTGTCATTGTAATGTATTAAATAAGTGCAGACATGTATGCTAACTCAGCGCTAGTTTGTCTGCCATTAATAACTCATACTGCTTTAAAGTCATCCTTGCTTTAATAAGACTTCAAACATGTTTTAGTCATAATCTTCCCAATATTTAATAAATGATGACATCATATATATCATCTTTTCCCAGTTGTTTTGGACAGAATAATTATTTATTGATGATAAATCAGATGCCACTCATCAAAGTAAACATCAGGGATTTCTCAGGAAGTAGCAGAAAGAAAAATTAGAAGCAAAATCCTGAAATGTATTAAGGTGCAAGGGTGAAATAATCTGTTCTTTTTGATGATAGGTGGTGGTACCATATGCTCAGATAGCAATGAATAAACTCTTATGTCCACAATATACATTGAATGTGTGGGGTATCCCAACACTGAAGAGGCTTAGAGTTATATTTTACTCACCTGAAAACTTCATACTGCTTAGAGTTTCCTTGATCTCCAGACAAAGAAACTAGTGCATGTCCTCTAACCTTCTTTCCAGACAGAGTAATAGACACCTTATACCTCCAACCTGTGTGAGAGGTCGGGGAGGGTTTGCAGAATGTCAGTTTGCAGAGAAGATACTGAAGGCAGGCTACCTGGAAGTCCACTACTGCTGAATTCTGAATAATTTATCACCTGGATTGGTAGTTCTAATAGTCACAGACATTCCTCTTTTCTCAATATTCAGAGGACAGACATTAGGGGAAGACAAGTGAAAATGCAATCTATTTTGCTTTCAATTTTTTAACCTAACAGTTTATTCTTAAATGTTAAAAGAACTTTATGTTAAAATGTAAGTAGAAAAAAGTAGACTGTGACATTTTGATCAATTCACTTCACTTTCACAGATCATCACATTTTCAAGTACGCTCGTCTTTGTCTAAATAGTACGCATTTATTTAAAAGTGTGACCACTGAACTTTCCATTGCCTTTGGAAATGTACTAATTCATGGTAACCAATTTATGGTACCAGTCAATAGTAAACTGCCAGTTTTGGTTTTGGTTTTGGTTTTGGTTTTTGCCATATTGAGCTAGCGTGGGTTATTGAGGGGGAGGATAAAATTTCGCTTTAGTTTTTGCAATGCAACTGACTCATTGACTCCCAAACAGTTTCCTTCCTCTATTAGCTGGAACAGAGATGTGGAGTCAGTCCTGTTCCACCATCCACGCACCCCCTAATTCCCAGCACCCACAGAGTCTGCAATCTGAAATATCCCTCGAATCTTTCAATGCCTTTCCATTCCCACATCCTCTGCCATTTCTCTCCTGGGTGACTTTTCTGTTTGTATGAAACTCCAGAATTTTGCTCACTGAAACTTTTGACTGAATATGAAGAAGCTGGAGTAGAAGAAGCCTCCTGAATTCAGCACGAGAATCAAATATGAAGAGACTTATTTTTATTTTATTTATAATTCAGTCCCTAAACCCTGCCGTAACATCCAAATTAGCTGAGCACAGCATATGGGTATTTTTCCACATTGGGATGGGGTGTTTAAAAAGGTTTTGTACAGAAAAGGAATTTCACACATTTTTACTGGGCATGATAAAATCCATAGCATTCAGAATTAAAAAGCCAATCAAATAGAGACTTACGGGAAAAACTGCCAGCGGCTTCACCGGTGTTCAGGTAGAATATCTGTCCTACTGCCCTTGTTTTCCCAGGAAATCTGTCAGCATAGTGACCCATCTGCGGGCAGCCTTCACTGGGACAGGGGAAGCACTCGTTCTAGGGAAAATAAACAGGTGACAAATAATGATGACGCTGTTTCTTATAAGAGTGCATCATCTCTTTCTTTATGTGTTGTTACAACTCAGATAGTCTGAAGCCAGTTCTGTCTTGATGGTAAAAGAGGGCTTAACAGTGTCTCTGTGAAGGTTGAAAATGCATCTCATTATTTTACAATGATGAATCAATGGTAAATAATCAGTGAACGATTATTCACTGTTAAATAACACAATACTAACAAAAATGTTACAAAAATCACACAAAAAGAGAATATATAAATACATATATATGCATACACACACACACACACACACACACACATATTCAAATCTTTCCTCTTTTGCTCCAGTTGCCCTACACATCTCTCTGCCTGCAGGTGGTTAGAATTTATTTCAGAAAGTGCAAGACACAGAACACTAAGTGATAATCAGCTGTTGATCTCGAAATAGGACCCAGGAGGATGATGGGCTCAAAAGTCAGGTTCTTCTCATTTCTTTAGCTCCCATTGAGCATATCAAAGTCTAAAAACTTCAGATCTCAGAATTCTCTCAATGTGGAGAGAAAATGCCCCAGATGGTTGCTAAGGTTTAGCCCTAAGGCTGGGTCTAGAAAAGATGGATATCATACAGGAAGTGTGGGAAGAAGAGAGGGGAAAGGAGGAACAGAGTGGGAAGGGCGAACATAGCCATTTCCACTGGGAAGGGCAAGACCGCATCACTCCTGGATCAATGAACCAGCTGGGGGCTGGGTTGAGAGGCAGGACTGCATCTAACAGAAGCTAAAGAGAGACAGAGCCAGCCGGGAAGAATGCCCATAGCTCTCTGAGAGCATTGCCTGAGCCAGAATTCATCAGCAGACATTTGCCATGGCCCGTCAGTAGGGCAGGCCCCCACGTTCTCCCTCTGCTGGACACAGGCCGGCCACCACTGTGATCTCCTGGTCCAATGCCAGCCTGGAAAGGAGGCTGAGAAATCTGCCAGATGGAGAATTTTTCTCATAAAAGTGTCTGAGCATCTCCTAAAAGGACTGTTTGCATTATTGAGTCAGATTAAGTTTGAACTGAATATAACCTAAAGCTTCTCTGTTTGTTTGTTTTCCCTATCACCTAGAGAATTGGGAGAGCTATTGGGAAAAAGAGAAAAATAAAGTTAGACTAAAGAAAGGGGGTATTCTGGTTATATATACAAGCTGTACTGGGAATAAAATATATAACACACCTTCCCCAAACACACACATAATAGCTCACAGCTATTGAATGCTAATTATTATACTTTAGGTTCTGGGCTAAGCAATTAACATGTCCTCTCATTAAATCCTCCTGCCAAATCTATGAAGTCTACCGTTATTATTTACATCTAGAAATGAAGAAATTGCTTTAGGGAAGTTAAGTATTTTGCCCCAAATCATTCAGTATTTTAATGGTGAAACCCCGATTCATATTCTCTGTCTTCATCACTAAGGTGTATGTCCTCGGTAATTATGACTTCACCTGGCACGTTACTTGAAATTTTACTCCTTAGATGACACAGACTATACATTTTCATTTGAAAAAAAACATGGTTTAAGGAAAAGGAATTAAAAATAAACAGGAAATGGATATGTCATATTCAAGATCACATTTAAAAATCTTTACTTAGCCCTAGCTGGTATAGCTCAGTGGACTGAGCGCAGGCCTGTGAACCAAAGCATTGCTGGTTTGATCCCCAGTCAAGGCACACACCTGGGTTGCAGACCATATCCCCAGTATGGGGTGTGCTAGAGGCAACCACACGTTGATGTTTCACCCCCTCTATTTCTCCCTCCCTTCCCCATCTCTCTAAAATAAATAAAATCTTGAAAAAAAAATAAAAATCTTTACCTAGCTCTCTAGAAAATACCAAGCAAGATGAAAACTTGGAAAAAAATCTTGGCAAGTGTGAGATTACAGAGAAATAACCACATGCCTGTTATTATATAGTTTTATAAGGTCAGCATTTAAGACAAGGGTTCCACATACATTAGTGTCCTGTAGCCACAGCTCAGATTTCCATAGATTATTTCTTAACTTAGAATTATTTCCAAAACGAGATGGAACTTTTACCTGACATATGCAGAAGCAAGAGAACAAGACAGATGTGAAGCATTTCAGTAGACAAGCCCATTTCTTGGAAATTCTCCATTATCTTATCACTCTTAAAATAAATCTGTATGACCAAACGTATACAGATGTAGGAATCATACAGCCCCGCCCACTGCTTGAATGGCATGGGCAGTGACCCGCCCGAGCCCTGAGAGACGATGGTCACCAAATTCTTTAGGTGCCAGGTGGAGTATCCTTACCTCAGTGAAAGCATCGTACGAGGCGCAGGGGAATCCAGCAAAGCCTTCGGGGTGGAGGATGGAATCAGTGTAATACTTGAAGCTTCTCAGGTGGTTACAGGCAAAAAAGTTACAGGTGCCTTTGAAAACAGGCATGATTCCCCATCAGTGAGAGATTTTGATTTTTCCAGGTTAATGTCATGATCAGGTTAAAGTTAAGTTGTTGAATGGGTTTCTCTAATTAGTGTGAACTCATGAAAGTCAAAGGACAAAATCATTTATAAACTGTATTTATTATTCCTGATGAAATTAGAAGTTAAGTACTGTTTAAGATGATAAGAGTGATGCCATAGCTAATGGAAAAGAGCATTTTTCTTTTGAAATATAAAAATAGCTCTTTCTTGAAATGGAACTTCAAAAAAAGTTCTGAGTAACTCCAGAAGGAAAAGATTGGTTCATACAGATGCAACTATCACCTTAATAATGCATTCCCTGAATTTGATCTTTGCACTGCAAATACACTTTCTTTCTTACAGTCTCTTTATGCCTGCTTCCCCCAGTGAAAAGCCCATATCTTGTGGACACAATGAAAAAGCACTTTGTGCCCTGGCTGGTGTAGCTCAGTGGATTGAGCACAAGCCTGGGAAGCAAAGGGTCGCCAGATCAATTCCCAGTCAGGCCACATGCCTGGGTTGCAGGCCAGATCCCCAGTGGGGGCGATGTGAGAGGCAACCACACCTTAATGTTTCTCTAACTCTTTCTCCTTCCCTTTCCCTCTCTCTAAAAATAAATAAAATATATATTTTTAAAAGTGCTTTGTTATAGAGAATGTGAGACCTGCACAATACCAAAATATTCAAAGTTTAGCAAAAACAACACACAAACTTTCCCCCAAGAAAAAATCTCTGCACAGGCTGGTTTCACCTTCCCAGATCCCCTGTACGTCCACGAGCTCAGAGAGAATGTTTTTCCGGCACCCGGGCATGTGTATTCCTCCATTTGGAAAGAAATCCAGGTGTCCTGAAATCTGGCTTGTTCCAAACCCTGAAGAATTTTAAAATATGGGAAAGATGACATTAATATAGACTAAGAGCCCTCTAAAATACTTGAATGAATAGACTCACAAAACATTCCAGGAGAATGAATTGAGAAACTCACCCATGTTGGGGATTATGGGGGCAGCATCTGTGTGAATTACATCCACAAACTGGGCATCGCTGGCATCCAGTCGGACTAATTCAGGTGTCCCTTCAAAGCAAGGTTCAGCTGGGTCCAACCCTAAAGTGACAAGATGCATTGTGTCAATATCTCTCAGCGAGCCTGCACATTCATTTGTCTTTATGACAGTCATCGTGAGTTAGACATGGAAGAGTTGAGCTGGTTCTTCCCAACCTTACCACGTTTGGAAGGGAAATTTGTACTTAATTCATGATTTGCATTAAAGGGACTTGTCCTCCAGTCATGGAATTCTGCTTGATTTATGACAATCCCACTGAGACAATCCCAATTACTAGCAGCAGTTGCAAGGAGGGAGCCAGACTCTGGGAGACACAGAACTTTAAAAAGCTGTTCAGGCTAAAAGAGTGCTCACTATATTCTAACTTCCCACGAGAGCAAGGACCTTGGCTTGCATGGCTTCGAATAGCGCCTGGCTGTCTTGGTGCTCATAAACATTTACGGACTGTGGGAAAGAATGCTCTCTCCAGCAAATTAATGATAGACATTCTAGATGCCTCCACCAATCCAACTGTAACCAACTTATCCAAAGTATTAAAAAGAAAATCAGAGCTGGAGGATAGAAGAGGAAAGCAGTTGTTTTCTGAGTTACCTCTCGGAGGGAGGGTAGCAAAGTCTCTCTTATAAACTCACAGGGGCATTTTAGGACCCAAGCATCCAGGTTGATCCAATGTAAGTAGTCTGAGATTTGTAAAATAATATATTTTATCTACTTCATCATGCAGAGCTGACAGCCCAAGGCCACCTGACCGACCACCCGCCTGACCTCCACTCAACTCTTCTGGGTTATGGTTGGTAAAAATGGGGCTAATTCTCAATTGCTATTGAGGCAGAATAGAATTAATCAAACATTTGGGGGCTTTTTTGGTTTAATTCTATTTATTATTTACTCTATTATTTGTGCTGTTTATCTTATTCACAAAACTTGTCCTTTGTGAATGCTTGAAAAAGGGAAAATAGATGTGAATACGACCTCTAGATGTTTTCAGTTCCCATCCTAGTCACATGCAATATTCATACACTCAGCAGAGCTCTGTGGGCCCAAGACTGGTATCAATAAGACATTCACGTGGCCCCAGCCCACACCGATTTCCCACCGCGGCGCCCAATTCAGAAAACGTGAAAACGTAGGTCTCCAAGGGTAAACAGCAGGCTGCCCCGAATTCCTGTCCTTTCAGACACCGCATGGGCTACACGTGGTCTAATTTTGTAGCTTTTACCATTTTGACCAACCTGTGATCCGTCCAACGGTCCCATTGGTCCTCCTTCCCGCCTCCCCAGCAACGTGAGAACCCAGGCTGTGGCCAATGATGTGGACATTGGAGAGCGAGTAATTAAAGGCTGTCTGTTGGGAAGAAAGACTTTGTCACAATGGTTTCACACACAGAAACCATGGACATGGAGGGGGGCCTCTGAACACTTAGGTTTTAGGAAGACATACTCCTCCCCTCAAAGGAATTTTTCAAATTTTTTCAGTTATCATAGAAAACAATGATGGTTTAAGATTTAAACTGGCAGAAATAGGTCTTTATTTTGTTAATTTATTATGTAGAGAGACCCTTTGATGGATATGAGTAATTGTTACCTAGAGGTAGTAAAGCAAGTATTTGGATTAGAAAATAATATTGAAAGCAATTATTTAGGCACTATGAAGTTTAGTATTTTGTTTGTTTTTAGTTGATAGATCAGGTTAACTTGTTATCATTGTGCTTCTCTTAAAAAATTAAAAACAGCCCTGACTGGTGTAGCTCAGTTGGTTGGGAATCATCTCACAAAGCGAAAGGTTGCTGGTTCGATTCCCAGTCAGGGAACATGCCTGGGCTGCAGGCCTGGTCCCAGGTTGGGGCAAGTATAGGAAGCAACCAATTGACGTTTCTCTTCTTCTTTTTCTCCCTCCCTTCTCCTCCTTCTAGAAATAAATAAATAACATCTTTAAAAAATTAAAAAAATCAAAAACAAAAAAGCTAGTTTAACCTTAAGGTTGACATTATCGTGTCAGTTTGGTTTAATAACTGGTAAAATTAAAGGAAATACTGGGAAAATTCAGTAGAGATAATCTACCTGGTTGTTTGAATAATGCCATGTTAAGAAAAACTAGTCTATTGGTCTTCATGGGCGTATTGTTGAAGCCCAAATCTAGATTTTTTTTTTGGAATTTTTTTCCAACAAAGGGGACATCAAATCACAGTATTTTTGTTGTTGCTGTTGTCTTTGGAAGAAAATCCAGAAAGCAGAGTGCATGAGATTTGACATATAAAAGTTACCTGCAGGACTTCGACAAAATAAGCCACTTCTGCCCCCACGATGCGGATGTTCTGTGAGGCCTGGGTATACTCCGCGCGGGAACCACCTTTCCAATCCACACAAATGCAGTTTACACTTTCCACCTGGAACATGTTCTGGCAGAAGAAACACCATAAATAGGTAAATGGTTCAGAATTAATCCTTATTAATTTCCAATTACTACATTGGAGAACTGGCATTTACAATATCATGCTTACTTTTGACCCTAAAGAAACAAACAAACTTCTAGTCTGTTATGGATATGGATTCCCTTTTAAAGTTTAAAGTGACTCCAAACTGGATATTTTGGCCATAATGGGAACTGCATTCTTGGATTTCTATGCAACAGTTACACGGACACCCGTTTCATGGAAAAACATACAGAATGTGGCGCAGCGGGGTGTCTCATTAGAGCTTCACAACGTCATAACGTCGTCTCTTACTAGAGTTCACTCCAGGACATTGCCTGTCTTGTTCACTGTGGTACCCTCAGTGGTGTGAACAGTTCCCGGCACATAGTAGGTGCTAAATAAATATTTATTGAATGAATAAATAAATGTCAGAATCAAAGACTATGTTGGGAACTCCTAAAATAAATATATTGAAGGTAAATGAGTAACCTTTTCCGTAATGGGAAAACTTACAAAGGTTTTAGACAAACACGTTTTATTGTATATTACTGAAGAGCTATTTAACATAAAAGCATCATCTATGAAATAGCCACTGGAATCTTTGTTTGATAGGGATTCATGGTGGTTTCCTGAATATTAGATCTGACAGGAATTTTGTATGAGTGTGTATTTATATATATTCTCACTATTTTTCTGAGAAGAATTGGAGAAGAATGAAGCAGCCTTAGAAAACATCTCTGGCTCTTTCATTTTAGTGATAGAAAAGTTCAAAAAGGGGAAACAATTTGCTACAATCATGGTTAGAGTCAGACTAGAATCTAGGACTTTTAACCTCGGAATTTAATTCACTTTTCTCCATTGGAGTGCAACAATGTGATCAAAGCCAAATCAAATGCAAGAAAAACACATCTGCTTCTGAGATGTCGGAAATCAATTGTGCACACATATCTACATTTCTACTGAGATGAGAATCACTGATTTTTTCTTTACCTTTGTATAGTAATTTATTCCTGCCCCCAAACAATCATCAAGTGTAAGTTATTTTAGAAAATAAGTTATAGTTTTTCTGATTATTTCTAAACTTGGGAAGTGAATTGGCCCGCTCATTTTTGGCTGTCTGCAGGATCAGCAGAATCTCTCTGGAGTTGCCTCCAGCCAACCTTTGTCCTGTGTCATAGACAGGTCTGAAAGGAAACAGTGTTATAATGACCTCAGTGTCTTTTCTCTTGAGACCTCTGAAGAAATGACAGGCCACAGAAGCTTGATGAATAAATGAATCAATGATAATGTTCCTTGAGCAGTGAGTTACCTGGCAGTTATTAGCCAATTTTGTTCTATTTGATTTTCCTGTTTTTTTTTAATTCTTCATTATCACAGGCCACATAGCCAAAGGCAAATTTAAAGAAAAAAAATAGCATCACTACTTCTGCAGAAACAACAGAATCGGAAATGAAAACCTACACAGATTTCCTAGCTATCGTTACCTTAGGAGATTGCTGAATAGCAAGGAAAAATCAAAGGGAAATCATTCTTTTGGGCAAAATGAATTATATTAACTCTTCATATAGACATGAAAGCCTATTGAAAAAATTTAAAGTTCTTGAAAATGCAACTCACGTTTATCAGTACAACAAGGTGTGTTGCTAAATTCTGAAATATCTCTGTATTCTTTATTGAATAACTATTACCCAAAGCCACCAAATGCCTGCCAACTTTTTTCTCCTGTAAGTGCCAGGCCCTCTCCACCCCTGCCACCTCCTGGATCAACCCTGGGAGCCCCACCCAGCAGGATTGGAAGCTCCTCCACTGCCTCCGTGGCCAGCGTCTGTCCTGATTGGCTGGGGCCTGATCACTCCAGAAACAGTCTTCCCCTAAGAGAGGACCACGTCTCACCTTGCACATATCGGACAGCCAGCTTCCTTCGCCGCTGTCTATGAATCCATGAATAATGAAGCGGGTTTTTCTATCTGTTCTGAAATTGGAGGCCTCGATAGCTGATGCATTTGCGGAAATTTCCTATGTGGGGAAGAAAAGTGCTTAACATCAGGTTTCTGGTAGATTCCAGCTGTACGTGGAGAGGGTGGTAGGAGAAGACAGCCCGGGTTCGGGAAGAAAGGGTTTGGGAGGAAGGGTTCTCCCATTTTAGCCAAGCTATCAGCAACCACCCTCAAGTCACTGCTCTCCAGATGCCACAACATTTTTGCAGTTATCCAACTTGGGACAATGTCTGCTATGACATTGGTGGCGGGGGTCTCATCTCCACCCAGTGGGAGGGCTTATGTGTGTGTGTATTTTATATACACAAAACATGTTGAAATATTATATAAAATATTGATTGTATATATATCCATATCTAAATGATTTATTAAATGGTACCATAGATGTGAGATAAGAACAATATCAAAACAAAGAACCCCTTATAATAAACAAAGTTACATAAAATAATATTCAAGCTCACAGCCCTAAAAGTCTACAAAGATATAAATTTCACTGACCTATTGTCTTTAGAAGACCAAAAATTCAGTATTATTATCACATAAAACAGATGGACTGAGTTCTGAAAACAACGAGTGCTCTTACTTGAAAGGTGTCTGGATTCTCATTGGTGTACAGGAGGAAGCGGGTGTTGACCTTTTTGGGGCTCCAGGGCAAAATTTTGAGGGGTCTCTGCACAATTCCTGCCCATGGGGAATCATCACTGAAGCAGCCAAGTCTCTGGAAGCAGACTTCCTTTCCTGCAATCACCCCCAAAGGTTTTTTAGAGATATTACTTTAACCAGAAGGCTCTTTTTTATGGTATCTCTGGCAAAATATGAGTTAAATTATATTTTGTGGCATATTTTCTTCCTCCTCACCCCAACACTTCTTCCTTTCTACACATTCACAGAACAGCACCGATAGACAATGTCCTCGCTAAAGACAGACTGCAGCTCCCCATTGCTACCATGTAGGTCTGCCTCACTCCCCTCATCTCTGTGTGGGGTCCCATGTGGGGTCCCTCATCCTGTGTGGGGTCCCACTGAGCCTCTCAACCCAGGTGTCTTTCTTGGGCCACTGGTGCTCATGAAAGAAGAAATCTTGTGTTCCCAAGCCTTCATAGGGGAGGCGAGGCTTTCAACTCCTTATAGCCATCTTCTGGCTTTGGGCTCTGGGTGGGGAGCTCATTTCATTCAAAGGCTGAAGCTTTATATCTCCAAATGACTGCGTGTTTAAGGCTCTGTCTGAACTCTGTTAAAGGGGCATCCTGGATTCCCGTGATGAAGAAGCTGCTCGCAAATAATCAAGCAGATAATCCATGGTCTGACTCAACTCAAGCCTTCCATATTACCCATAAAAGGACAATATGAAGGGAGGGATGTCGAGGAGGACAAGGTCTAGATTAACAGTAGGAGTAGTGGCTGTTGTGGGGGCTGCATCCTCAAAATCTTATGATGTGCCAGGGGCTGGGCAGGGTGATTGACGTGAGTCAGGTTACCCAAGTCTCACAAGGATCCTATGAGAGGAGTGGTCATGTATGCCCATTTCACAGATGACGGTGGTGAAGTACAGAGAGGTTAAGAGTCTTGCTCAGGGGAGCCTATCTGTGACTGGTGGAAGCAGGGCTCAAACCCCACATGATGCCAAGCTAGGGTTGCCAAATTTAGCAAATAAAAATACAAGTTAGAGTATTAGATAAGTACCGAATATTTTTTAAGAGAAAATGATCATGCTGTTTATCTGAAATTCAAATTTAATGGGGCGTCTTAGCTTTTATCTGGCCACTTCACTCCGAGTGCTCATATTCTCGTTCATGCATGTTTCTTGCTCTGATCCTTGCCCTCCCTGTGCCGTGAACTCAGCCATCACAGCTTTTCCTGAAACTACTGAGCACCATGAAAAAATGCTTACTTACCGACTACTGTTCCCAGCAGCAGGGTAAGTGCCCAGATCCGAAGCATCTAAACAAAGTAAAAAATATGAGCGAAGCTGGCTACATTAATTTTGAAAAGGTAGGCATAATGCGAGTTCGGCTAGACTGCTGGGGGGAAAGAGGTAAATACTAATAAATTGCGCTTGGAAAACACACTCTAGACTCACCGTGGCAGTTCCGGAAGGTCCTGTTCACACCTGCTGGAACCCGAAGTTCTGTTTTATAGGCAAGCCTTATCTTTCTGAGCCATTCCATGGGAAAGTGACGTGAAGTGAAAGAAGGTGCCAATGATATATTTATAATTTTAATCATAAATAAACTAAAAATGATAGAGTAGGTGAAGTTTTCCACAGGACTTGTGGGCAGATGACAAAAGGGTAGATATGAACAATTCTCTTCCAGACTGATTACACAGTGCTCAGAAACCCCAGGATTTCACGGCAGCAAAGGTTCTAGTCTGCCTCCTTTTAATGTACAATTCTTTGTGTAGGCCTGTGGGTATGTGTCAACTAAATTGTCTTCACAGATTTGACAGGAACATTCTTTTTAAAAATATGTATGTATTGACTTTAGAGGGAAAGAGAGGGAGGAAGAGATAGAGAGAAAGAGAGAGAGAGAGAAAATACTTATCCATTCAGCTATTCTATGTCTTTTGATTGGAGCATTTAATCCAATCCATTTATGCTTAAGGTTATTGATAGGTACTAAGTCATTGCCATTTTTGTACCTGTGTTCCTCTTTGTCTCTCTCTTTTCCTTCCTTTCCTTAAAGCAGTCCTTTTAGCATCTCTTGCAGAGCTGGTTTGGTGGAGGTGTATTCTTTTAGACTTCTTTTGTTTTGGGAGTTCTTTATTTGGCTTTCTCTATTGATTGAAAACCTTGCTGGGTAAAGTAGCATTGGTTGCAGGCCTCTGGTTCTCATTACTTGGAATATTTCTTGCCATTCTCTTCTTGCTTGGAGCGTTTCCATTGAGAAGTCAGCAGGTAATATTACTGGGTCTCACTTGTATGTTACTTCTTGTTTCTCCCTTGCTGCCTTTAAAACCACAATGAGATTCCACTTTACACTGGTCAGAACGGCCATCATAAACAAAGATACAAACAACAAGTGTTGGAGAGGTTGTAGAAAAAAGGGGACCCTAGTGCACTGTTGGTGGGATTGCAGACTGGTACAACTACTATGGAAAACAGTATGGAATTTTCTCAGAAAACTAAAAATGGATCTGCCTTTTGACCCAGCACTTCCATTGCTAGGATTATATCCTAAGAACCCTAAAACACCAATATAAAAGAATATATGCACCCCAATGTTTATAGCAGCACAATTTACAATAGCCAAGTGCTGGAAGCAACCTAGGTGCCCAGCAGTAAATGAATGGATCCAAAAATTATGGTACATTTACACAATGGAATTCTATGCAGCAGAAAGAAAGAAGGAGCTCCTACCCTTTGCAACAGCACAGATGGAACTGGAAAGCATTATGCTGAGTGAAATAAGCTGGGCAGTGAAAAACAAATACCATAAGATCTCACCTTTAACAGGAACCTAAATAACAAAATAAACAAGCAAACAAAATATAACCAAAGACACTGAAATAGAGAACAGGCTGACAGTGTCCAGAGGGAGGAGGGGAGGGAATTTCAGGGGAAAAGGGGAAGAAGTATTTACAGGAACAAGTATAAAGGGCACATGAACAAAAACTAAGGGGGGGGAGCACTGGGAGGGTGAGCTGGAATGGAAGTAAAAGACAGAAAACTGTATTTGAACAACAATAGAAAGAAAGAAAGAAAGAAAGAAAGAAAGAAAGAAAGAAAGAAAGAAAGAAAGAAAGAAAGAAAGAAAATACTGATTTGTTGTTCCACTTCTTTATGCATTCATTGGTTAAGTATTGTATGTGCTCTGACCAGGGATCAAACCCACAACCCTGGTGTATGTGTTGATGCTCTAACCAACTGAGCCACCCAGGTGACGTGATAGCAACATTCTTGAAAACAAATACTAAAAGCTTACCAGCTTAGGCAGTTCTTATAATCTTGCCTTACCCTCAAAGATAGTGAAATAGAGGCAATTCTTCAAGAGAGTTTATTCCTTTCAGGAAGGCACTTGGTATTTTATTTTAATAGCTCATAGAACTAGTTTATTTCTCAGTCATACCATGAAGAAAAGCACAAATGAACTGACAAAAGGAATTGAAGTTACTTCTAAGAACATAATGGTGAAACCAGTGATCCCTGCCATTAAGCGAAATCATGAAGAGGAGAGAAAAATAAATTTCAACTTGAAAAAAATGGTTTGGGAAACATAATCTGAAAGAGAAGTATTTGATAGGAAAGAACCGGGATACTTTCCGTTGGCGATTGTTTGCTTAAAATACATTTTCAAAAGATGGCAATGGCATAGCATAATTTTAAGAGGTTGTGGCCATTTAGCCTGACAGCTTCACACATGCAGACTAAGTCACTTGAAGTTGCCACAGTTGTAGGCCAAATAATTCAGTTCCCTGGCACAGTTTACGGCTGCAGAAAAAAAAATTGTTTGTATATGAGGAAAGTTCAAGAAAGTTGGGCAAGGGAAACGTTAAAATCAGGACAGAGGGCACAAGAAAGAATTTCATAGAGGGTACATGTAAGACCTTTAGCATATCCCTGTTGAATGAATGAACAAAGCAGCAAAGGAATGAAAATAAAAAGCAACTTCTATTGCATAATTGCTATAGTGAAAATGGCCTATACAACCTCATGGTAAAGGTCTGTCATTTTCTGAAGCTCTTTTTACTCAAAACAAGCAAGCAAACAAACAATCCCCCTCTCAAAAGTGAACTCATGTTTACTTTGAGGTTTATTATGAAGTAAAATATGTTTTTTGTGAATTGCCAAATAATTCACACAAAATTTCTGAGTTGGCATTTTAGAAAGCTTAATATTTAATCTATAATTCAGGTAACCTTTGTTCAATAGAAGCTGTAGAATTAGGACCAAAAGTCACCAAATTCTGAGACAGAAACTGGAGTACATGGGGAATTGTTTTATAAACCAAAATAGGTTCAAATTTTAGGAGGTTTTGGGAAGATTCATTTTCCCAAGTTGTTATAAAAGCAAAGAAGGGAATCATACATCAGCAGCAACCTATCAGGCGAGCTCTGGGTGAATGATATTTGAAATTCAATCTTGCCGAACCCTCTAGCTGGGTTGTACAATTTTCTCAACCCTGTTGTCTCCTTCAGACCACTAATGAGCTATCTGGGGCTGTTTATAGAGTATGTGGCAGAGGTTGGTGGCCTCTTCTCACATGGAACAGAACTAGACTCTATTGCCCAATCTCCCTTGCTGGGAAATGGACCACATGATCAACTTCCAGCCAATGAGCTGTGAGTGTCTAGATGTTGCACCAGTCCTAGTTTCTGCCATAGAAACTCACACGTGGTCCTCACATGCCTTGTCTTCCACTTCTTGATTCAGGTAAGTACATGGCCTTGAAGTACAGGCTGAGCTTGAAGGCCATTTGTTGAGGCCGACTCTTGAGAGTCACAAGATGGAGGGAGCCTTGTCTTCTCTGCTTAGAAAGAAGCCAGCCATCAACTGCAAAGACCCATTTTGAACTTTTAATGAGCAAGAAATAAATCCCCATTGTTTCAAGCCACTGATATTTCAGGGTTATAGCAACTAGCATTGCTTTAACCATTAGATTATTGTATTATATGACAATTTCTCCTACTTGCAAGAAGAGTTCAGAACCACACATTGAATCTTGCTCATAAAATCTTACCATGAGATATGGATGGAACTTACAGGTAACATTGATGCTTTGACAGATATTTTTCTAATTCTCGGCTTCAAAAACTCCCTTTCCTGCCACTTCCAGAATTACAAAAATTAACTGCTGAATTCTTCATTCTCTTTTTGCAGAGTTTAATTTTAAATGGGCATTTTCCAGTTCAGTCCTGACAGTGACCACTGTTTCACAAGAAATCTGAGGCCATAGGACACCTCAAGGTTTAGTGAAAATTTACCCTACATTGCCTGGGCCCCCAGCTGCAATGTATGTGTAATTGGAGCAGTTTAACCTGCTGGATACATAAGAGACTCCCAAACACCACAGGGAGGTGGGTGGCAGCTCCCACCAAAACTCCGCTCCCCACCAGCCTTTGTTTCTCCTTGCATTGCAGTACTGCAGGCTGGAAGGTGGGCCCTGTGGAAGGTGACAGAGCAAGGCAGTCCTTGGCCAGGTACTTCATGACCTAGAAAGTGGGTTGACTCTGAAACCTTGGACATTTAAAAATAAAAATCCCAAACTTGGAAGTTACTAATCCAATAGCTATGTTTGCAAAGGAGGTAAATATTTGATGTAAGTTTAGGTGCTAATTCTGGTAACCTTGTGATACCAAACTCCAGACAAGGGAAGGAAAGGCTCCGGGACACCTGTGCGGCCAGATGACCAGTGTGTGAACCAAACGCGGCACCATTTACTTAAGCTTCCAAGACTCCCGCCCTTATCCAGTGCAGTCTACTGCCAGGGCCATCGGTGGGAGGGAGAACCTGCTTGCCCAGGGAAGCCCCGCTTCCCTGAGCAGCAGGAGATTGTGATGATTCTGAGTTCCTGTGGCTGCACCCCTTCCAGAGCAACTGTGCTGTCAAATGTGAGGGGGTTCAGTTCACCCTGACTCAGGGCGTGAGACTGTAGTCAACCCTCCTCCGTGCTGCATGAAGATGTTTTGCTTTGTGGAACAGAATAACAAACATATCAAAATTTTGATAGGACTCATCCTTTAGTTTTATATACTTTCAAGGTTTTTGCATTTAATCTTCCACAGAACCTGAGAAATTTTTAGTGATTTTTCTTAGGAAAACAAAAAGACTCACAGTGTTTAAGCTTCCTGACCAAGGACACAGGGTTGGTAAGCAGCAGAGCTAAATCTGGAGGCCAGTTCTTTCCACTGGCCCCAGAAGACTGTGAAGCCACAGAAGGTCACGTTCTCCTGGGCCATGTTCGTCTAGACCTGAACTATAAACGTGGTCAGAGTGGGTGCAG